TATATATACACATATCCTAGAATGGCTAGACCAAATGGACTGAACCCAAGCAAAACATCATTAGCAAGACACAATTCGAGAACCAAACGAACTCACTATCATTACTACTCCATTCTATATTCTAGAACATGTTTCTCTCAGATGGTAACTCCGAGACCTACCTGTACTTCTATAGGATAAGTACCGGGTCCATGGAACCTGGATTTTGCATCTACTCTCCCCTATGGTCAGGAAATACCGAAGAGCGTCTCATCTTCTCCAAAGAGCTAGTGAAACGCACTAAAGGCTGTTGCTGTGTTATATTGCATTCGGATCTAATGAGGCCTGGCACTCGAATAATGTCAAGGTTGACTTTGTTGGAGATGGGGGTCTTCACCCTTAGCAAGACGTGTTCATCTTTGTACATACCTCGGTAAGCTTTTCATCTACGTATATGGACTTGGTACTCATATATTCGGCTAGTGGTCTGATTGTTGGTTTTTTCTGGGATTGGTCTCGTGCCTTATAGTCTTTGTCGTGGTGGGGCATCGATGGCCGTGCTGGTTACTGTGTCCTGTAGGTTGTTTGTAGAGTGGTACGATATGTTGATACGTTTGGTCGGTTGGTAAGAAGTGTTTGTATTTTGGTTTGGTTAGGAATTACTTCAGATTGTTAATGCTGGATGGTGGTATATTGCTATGTAGTTTGGAGATGTTGTAGGGTGTAGTCTAGAGGCTTTGAGTTGGTGGTTGTGTATGTCGTTGGTGGAATTTTGTGAAGTAAGATTGGATTGCCTGGTTTTCTACATATCGATGCTTGTTGCTTGGTGACTACCAAACAAGAAACTATACTTGAGAGTTGATATTGAATTGGGGGAGGAGGGGAGGGGGGGGGGGGGTGAAGCTTGTGGAACTGGAATGCCTAGTATGTATGCAATGGTGATGATCCCTAGGTTTTATAGCTTAGTTGTCTCTAAATAATTTTCTAATTGGGCGAAGATTGATGCCTCGAAGAGGACTATATAATGACTAAAGTCTAAAACTAGATAAGTAAATTATAGTCGAGGATTATGAAGCTGAAAATAAAATAAACAACAGTCGGTGGGGAGTATAGCTTAGTGTTAAGGGCGTGCTTGCAGTATGACACGAGGCATCTACAGTGTTTCCTCTAAGGCCAAGACCTGTTACAAGCTATTAGCAGGGCTCTTTGGGAACTCTGGTGTCATGTATAGGATGGGCCTTACTAGTGCGGTCCTGGTGGGGATGTAGACTTGGAGGAAGTTGCTCCGGCCATTCCACGATAAATCAGTGGTAAAGAACCGTGTCTCCTTAAGATTGCGGTTTAGACCACCGAATGCAGAGTCATCAGTGTCGAGAATGATACGGTACGTGCCTGCTTGCTCAACGCCAACACGGTAGTCGGTGAAGCTGTTGGTTGGGTGGAAGTTGAAAATCCAAAGAAGACCTGCCCGCTCAAAGACGAGGACCTTATCGGCCTCGTTCTTCAGGCTGATATATGCCTGGGGCGAATGGAGCCATCCGTATTTTTCTTCTGTCAATTGCATAGCACGGTCGAATTCATTGAGGAATCTATACCGAAGAAGGTGGTCCTCGGTCAGATTTAGCTGGCGTCGTGCGTACCAGAAGGAGTTATTGTTTCCTTCTCGGGGGAAGTCGAGCCATTCCGGGTGTCCGAACTCATTACCTTCGAAGTTGAGGTAGCCCTCACCCCCAAGACCATGCGTGACTAGTCGGATCATCTTGTGCAAGGCCATGCCTCGTTCAATGATGGGGGTGAACTCTGTCAGCACGGACATGTGTGTGTACATTTCTTTATCGCAGAGCCACATCATGAGGGTTTTATCGCCGACAAGCCTTACCAGGGAGTTAGTTAAACGACAATCAGATAGAATATATGGTGGATTTGTGAGCTTACGCTTGATCGTGGCTTTCTGCGTATGCAATCGTCTTCTCGCCATGGCGTCTGTTTGTCAACGTGAAGGACAGGTTTCCTATGTCCCACTCGTCGTCCTCCTTCTCTTTCAAGAGTTTGATATACATGTCTGGGACGGCCATGGCGAGGCGGTAGTCAAAGCCGACTCCGCCGAGAGAATGTGGCAAACAGAGCGCCGGCATCCCAGAGACATCTTCCGCTACTGTGATACAGTTGGGATAGATGTTATGGAGCATTTCGTTAGCAAGAGTCAGATACATCACACCTTCTTCATCGACAGAAGAGCCAAAATACTCATGGTACCCTCCGGAAAAGCCTCTGTGTGTTTCAATTAGACGAATAGTAACACTGAAAAGATTGGCTACTTACGTTCCAATTCCGTGATGGGTGTAAAGCATACTTGTGACTCCATCGAAGCGGAAACCATCAAATCCATACTCTTCCATCCAAAAGCGCAAGTTACTCAGAAGGAAGCGCAGAACCTCATGATTACCGTAGTTAAACAAACGACTATCCCACAACTCATGTCGACCCTTATCACCACCGTGGAAGTATAGGTGGTCTGTGCCGTCGAACATGTTCAACCCATCGAGCACGTTCTTCGACGCATGGCTGTGGACGACATCGAGGAGCACCACTAGGCCCATGCTGTGGGCTTTATCGACGAGCTCCTTTAGGTCTTCAGGTGTACCATAGCGGCTGCTCGCTGCGAAAAAGTTATTGATTTGGTACCCGAAGCTGGCGTAGTAAGCGTGCTCCATGATGGCCATTAGTTGAATTGCATTGTACCCCAGATATTTAATCCGAGGGAGCATGTTGGAAGTGAACTCTTTGTAGGTTGCAACCTTAGTTTCTGGTGATGAAATCCCCACATGTGCCTCATAAATTCGGAGACTCTCCGGCCTCTTAGGGCGGGGATGCTGGAACTTATATTGTTTTTCGGCTGGAGGATTCCAGAAGACCGACTCATATGTAGGTGATACACTGAGATCTTGCACCACACGCTTGATCCATGCTGGAATCCGATAGATTCGCTCTCCACTGGGGGTTACCATTGAAATCTGGACAACCGTAAGTGTTACGAAACGTATTGACAACTGTTAAGGTGAACAATGGGATCGATACTTTGATCTTACTATCATGGGGAATAGCTGGGGCCCCGCTAATTGCTGGCACCGTAACCTCCCAGACACCAAAGTCATTCTTTGTCATTGGGTGGGCCGTCACATCCCAATTGTCTGCTAGTTTCAGTACTGCTTCCTCAGATAGCTTTCTCCATGCAATCAAACATACTGAATTCACCAACCAGTTGCGCTTGCACAGCATTTGGAGCCCATTCTCTGTACACAATGTCACCATTGGATTGAACGTTGAGGCCAAACGTCTCGTAGCCCTACAGAGTGGACGAAGTAATAATTAGCAGGGGTAAACTTCACAGTCAATTGACCTCCTGCCAGAACGAGGGCTTCATAAGAGTATTTGATTCCCACCTTGCTGAACGTTTCAAGACCCCCTTCTGTCTCATTGATGGTCTTCACCCAGCCTTCAACGAAACTGAACCTTTGCTTCAAAGCATCCCGAAAAGGGTCCAGCCAAGGGTCCAGCTGTATGACACCTGGATATATTCAGCATAAAGTGGAATTGCACAATGTGTCGTTTGAAGTGGCCAACCTGTGCCGTCCAGCGGGGAGCTATCCGCAGCTTGGGAGGAACCCATTCCGGCAGCTGGCAGGAACTGATAAGGCTCAATCAGGTACAGAACCTTGTTACTGAGATCCAACGAAGCAAATTGAGATAGTTTGAACCTAACACTACCACCAGGAATTGCAGGCAGAAAAAGTAGGCAATGGTTGGGGAGAATGCAGAAGGGGAAGAGAAAGAAACCTGGTTTCCTGATGCGGGGGTTACTTGTTGAGAGGCCAAAGCTCCCGTGTTCTCCCCATGTGACATCACCCTACCCTTGACTTTTGTTTGCTTATCATTCATTTGTTCCTCGTGCATTTCGCAATACTATACGTCTCTCTTCAATTATTTTGTCGATTACAAGCGAGATATTAGTCTTCTATGATATACACAAGGATTATCGTATCCTCGAATCTATCCCTGAGATTGCAAGGAATCAGTGTATTAAGTCTACTCATGACAAGATAGGATGCTGATAGCTGACTCTATCTTGACAAACCCACTATATAATTAAAACAAATCGAGAATCAAATGGTAATATATACATGCGTCATGGTCTAGTGATGGCCATGGCGCCGATGATGATGATGGCCAGCACGAGGAGGGCCTGTGGGTGCTGGCTTGTCATTTCCGAACGGACAGCCACCAACCTCACCGGTAGACTGTTCAGAGGGTTGCTGCGAAGATTGCTGGGAAGGCTGCTCAGTGGCCGCAGGAGGAGCTGGTGTGCTAGTGGACGTCTGTTGCTCGGCCGCGGTGGAGGTCGCCTCAACAACCGATGTCGGCTTAGAGGACGCCACAACCGCCCGGACCTTCGCTGTTGAGCCTTTGTTGGCCATCAAAGCACTGTAAGGAGTCGCTCCAGGGTAGAAGGAGGTGGGGATGGTCGGGATTGGAATGGAGGCTGTAATACCGAAGTCGGTCTTGAGATCGGCAGCCATTGTTGCCGCCGAATAGCCAGATGGGGCGCTGGAGACTGTGGTCGTGGTCGCCTCATAAGCAACGTGGTTAGAGCCTGATTTGAGACAAAATCCAGCACCATAAGCGTTGCGGCAAGAGTACCATTGACGCTGCCTGGAGCTGTCCTCGGTCCACATGGCAAAGTCAATGGTGATATCGTAGCAAGGGGCGCCGTCGGGGCAAACAATCTTGATAGGTCCTCTTGCAGCACCATTCTCCTCAGTTCCCTTCCAGTTTCTGAGAGTGACGTTGCTCAGTTCCACACCATTTCCCCCCTGAGAGCTCATACTGGCCCAATAGCTGTCAATATCGAACGAGTAGGCATTTCCATGGCCTGAGAAATGCAAGGTGCAGGGTTAGTATTTTGTCAATGGATTCCATTAACTGGCTTATATCGATGCTTGTGCTTACCGATGAAGTTCTCAAACAGCAGATTAGTCGCGGAGCCACTACCGCCGTTGCTCTTGATGAACATCATGTTGTTGGAGTTCCAGGTGTAGATGTTCCGGTAAGTGATATCACTGATATCGGTATCCTTTCCAAGAGAGCCCATACCACATCCGCCGCTCCAGTTGCAGTAGATATTCTCAACCAAGATGTTCTTAGAAGGGCTCTGCAGATGCGTTAGACAGTCATTGGGATAAGGGTACGCTGTGATGGAAACATACCTTGACTGTGACACACTCATCCTTGTTCGTTACCTCGATCTATTACATGTAAGCTACCGAGGAACGCGACACTCAAACATCGGCAATTTGCTACTCACGTCATGAATCCAGACGTTCGTTGACCAAACGTCAACACCATCCAAGCCACCGTGGTTACCACCACGAATTGCCATGTTATATACTTCACCGTTGGTGCAAGTATCCAGGGAAAAGTGGAAAGCAGGGGCATCGACAAGGATGAAGTCATGAACCGAGAAATCTGTAACATCATAGAGTCGCAAAAGACGAGGCCCGCTCCATTTGTTATCCTTGTGGTACTCATAGCCCAAGCCCTGCATGGCACCCGACGATGTGCTGCTGAAGAGCTCAAAATCACTGGAATGTTCAATAAAGATCATGTTTCCACCGTCTGTGCCGGTACGGTGGATGGTTCCATCAATCTGCAGTGCCCATGCCTTACCGCCACTCAATCTGGCCCAAGTTGATAATGCATAATCTCCCGACGGCACATAAACCAAACCGCCAGATTTGCAGTCGGTGAACGCAGATGCCAGAGGGGGCCCAAGATCGGTGGTCTTATCAGCTTTAGCTCCATAATCGAGGACATTGCAAGTCTTCGTGGCGGCTTTAGTCGAAGACGATGTTAATGGTCCCACAGATCCAGAAAGGCTGGCCACCGCAAGGGTAGGTACCAGACTCACGAGAGAAAACAACGACAATGTATTGATCCGCATCTTGCTGAGCGGGAACTGGAGAAAAAAAAGGTGAGCGTGAGGAGGCAGCAAGAAGGATGGTAGCGCATGAGCGAGAAGAGCTCTTAAGTAGAGTTAGATCCTGTATCTCAACCTGAAACAACTTCCTTAAGACATGGAGCCAGCATCTAATAACCCTAGTTTCAAACAGCCGCTGGCTAGTACTATCTATGCACTCCCAGGGCTGAGCGATAATCTGTCAAATCGGCCTAGACTTCTAGAACCAAACGCTGGGTTGAATCAAATAGATTAGTCGGCGCTCCAGGAGCAACAATGCATACCAATCTCTAATAAGAGAACCATGACATGCTTCGGACGATTGAACCAAGCACGAGCATCCGTCCCGTGTTTCGTCGTCCCGGATCTACAAATTGAGCTCAACAAGATGTCCACAGAGCTCAACAGGCCTGTCCGGTCCTTAACGCACAAACCTTCATCCTCCATGGAACCTTCGATGCTTCTATCCGTTGGGGCGGAATAGCTCTCCAAAGAAGTGGACCCGAACGAGAGATGAAACGCTCTAAAAAAATGCCGTTTCCGGAGAATAGCCGGCACCGAAGGAAGAGCCCTTTACTCCAACATTGAGAATTGGGAGATAAGCAACTCCAATTGAAGTTAAAGGGGCGAGAATAAATGAAGGTTTGGAGTAAAATTAATTACCCTCTGACTAGGGTAGATCTAGTCAAGGGCTGCCGGGATCTGCGACGAACAGGATCAGTTGACCTTCTATGCTTAGTCTAAGCTATATTCACATTAAGTGTTGGAGGCTCCACGCACTCATTTATGCCTACCCAGATCCGGGTTCGGCCCTACGTGATGTTTTCCGAGTCACCTGCTGCTGCTTCTCCTCGGGCTGAAGCATGGGTATATTCCGCTTCAGCTAAGGTTGTGTCTAAAATAAGATCGTTCAAAAAGGGGCAGGAAAAATGTATGCATCTGAATTAAATTTGTATTCTCGGAAAGCCCCCCAATATGTGCAACGAAACAGATGTCTATCTGGACTCAGTCATACAGCAAATCGATAACATTTGATATCCTCACGCTAGTCATTGTCGGCATGCCGACTGTACGGGATTCCCAAGAGACTTAGCCTAGTATGGGACCGTGAACACATTCGGTCTCTGACTGGACACATCATTGAAGTCAGCATGGATTATTAATTCTATCAATGAATACAAGAAACTGACTGACTCACTATTTACAGGCTGGCGCCAAGAGTAGCGACAACACTGCCCACGGAAGTGCCCAGAGCAGGCAGACCGAGACCAGTGAGAAGGCCTGCAACATCAGGGGAGAGCTTGATGAGAAGGAAAGAGCCATCCTGGGCGACGACAGTGAGGAGGTTCTTGACGGGCTCGCCGAGGTCCTTAAGAAGGTCACCGACGTTACCGGCGGTCTTGATGATCTGGCCAACGGAGGTACCGACTCCAGGGAGGCCGAGTGCGGCGAGGAGAGATGCGACAGAGGGGCTGAGCTGGATGAGGAGACGCTTGGAATCGGTGCCGGTGACCTCGAGGACATCTTGCACCTTGGGAGCAACGTCCTGAACAAGCTGGCCATCGGCGGAGCGCTTCAGGTTCTCACCAAGGGTGGCGACAATGTTGCCAACGGGAATACCGACGCCAGGAAGACCGACACCAGAGAGAAGGCCAGCGACGTCAGAAGACAGCTTGATCAAAAGAGCGCTACCGTCCTTGCTGACGACAGTCAGAAGGCCGTCGACAGCTGGGCCAAGGTCCTTGATCAGGTCGCCGACCGAAGCAGCCGTCTTGACAATCTCACCGACAGAGACGCCAACACCAGGAAGGCCGAGACCGGAGAGGAGGCCAGCAACACGGGGGCTAAGCTCAATGAGGAGCTTCTTCGCGTTAGGGCCGGTGACGGTGAGAACCTGGTTCACACCATGGCCAGCATCCTGAACAATGTGGCCGCTGGCACCAGAAGAGGGGGCTGGGGATGCTGCGGGAATAGCATAGGTGGTGGATGTAGCCTCCTTGAGGATACTGACATCAGAGAGACCGCCAGCAGGGGCAGCCATGGCCGAAGAGGCCAAAGCAGCGATGACAGTGATAAGGGAAGCCTTCATTGTGATGAGATTTCTGAAAGAAAATTGAAATGAACGACAGGGTATATTGATATCGGGTATAGCCGTTAATGAATGACGGAAGTTGGAGAGCGAGAGAACGAACGAGTGTTGTGCTGCTGGTCGAGAAAGGAAGCCAATAAAGCTGGAGCTATCTAAGCCTTATATACTGCAGCTGCTCGGGATCATCTCTTTGTTACGGTCCTTTCAGAGAGCAGCTGGACATACTGATCAGCTAGCTGGCGGGTCAGCCATTCGATTAGGGTCTTGCGTTATTGCTCAGGAGAGTAAAGCATCATTGCAAGCTTGATGGAGACAAAGGACTACCAGGATGTGGGTACTGCATATGAAAACAGGATACAGGTTCTCCAATGCAACCTCATTCCTTCACGCCTGTGCGGCTCTGTACATCATTACTATCGCTATGCTCCGTATACTAACTGCGAATCTAGGCGTCCGACTGATCTACGTGCAGTTCCCACAATGAAGCTCGAACAACCCGTACAGTACCATATTTTGAGAAGAGGCCCAACGTTACAATCGCCAATTCTCGCCATAGACGCTAGATAGGATAATACTGCAATAAGACCGCAATCATTGCTTGTTCGGGGAGGGCCGGATCCGCTGATCTACATGTAATAGACTTTCAGACATCATGCTTCCACGCCTTCACGCATTCTCCCCAGTTCCCTGTTAGCTACCACAGTGATCTGCATCTTAATCTTACCAGATAACAGGCACCAGGCACCTTTTCGATCACATGCGCTGCCAGATGCTGAATGGTTCTCTGTACGCTGATTTGGTATCCACTTTGGCCTTACCTGATTGAGGGGGTAGACTATTGGTGAGAGAAGATGATGAACACGAGCTCGTCCGCCGCGATAAACTTAATTGCGATATATTCGGAATCGACCTTTCCCTACCTAGTATATGCACGGCATACAAGGTCTAGAAGGTAGAAGACATACTTCGCACGTTGTACCCGACCATCCGGGTAGTCGGCTTGCCCAGACCTATGGAGCTTAACCCTGACGATCTTCCATGTAGCGAAGGTGGTCAAGTTGATTTGTCGTTTAGCCTTACTCTACGAGTATGGAAGTACCGGATACGCTATTGAAGCTTACATCCACAGTTCTCTGCATATGTATCGGTTCTTAGATTGTGAGTAATCTATTGATTCACGAGCTATTATACTTTGCACCGGTCGACTATGAGTTCAGCTGATGAACGAGATCTTGGACTTGGCGGTGATGCAGGTGGTTCAAGTCATCGCATAACACCATTGAGTAACGCCATTGCATAATATCTGCGCTCTACCCCTGGTTCCTCGCAGCGGATATGACATCTAGGGCCCGATAGGAAACACTCCACTTCTCTTGGATGGCAATTACTGCGTATCCTTAGCGCCGGTAAACCGGATAACCAGAAAATGAGATCATAATTCCGCGGGCTCCGTCCGCTCCGAGGGCTGCCGGACACGAGCTCTACCACAGCATAGCAAGGGCCGAGGATCTTGCATATGGAGATCCTGGTGACAAGCTTTTCCTTTTTCTTTTTCTTTCATGACCCATGTTTCATGCAAAAGGATTTAATCCTGAGCATGTAAATTCTCCGACGCTTTTGCGGAAGAATAAGAAAAGGAGTACATGTAAAAAACATCAGGCTAACTGACTTACGACGACGCCCCTAGAAGGAACGACCTGATCATCTCGTCATAATTTACTCAGTCCCGCAACGTAATTCCACAGAGGAATTCCCCGAAATCCAGCACGCAAAACTATGCATACTACTGTGTAGTTGTTGGGGCCGTTTCAGTTGATGATCAACAAGCTTAATAAGTTCGTTGCCGATCAACTCCATCAGGGCTCGCGAATGAACAACGACAGCCAAGACTGGACGGGGTTTGTCGTGACTATTGTCTCTGCTATTGGTAACTATTATGGATAAGGCAAAAGGAGAGCGGCTTCACTCGTCACTAGTACTCGCTGCCGTTCGACGGCTTTCCGTATGCGGGATTTGTCGCGACGTTCCGAATGGAAAAAGGAGTGCCCTAACTACCGGCGCTATGGTGGTGGATCCGCCGCTATTTCGGGGATCGCTTTCTGTTTCCTTGCCGCCCAACGGGTTTATCAAAACGCTCATGATAGTATCCATGGATGTCAAATGAAGACTTTCGTCGCGCTAGCTAATACCACCGTAGGAACTATTACGTTTAGCAACCCTTGAGGTACTCAGAGTATATGGAGTTTGTTCAGGTCCAGGGCCTGTGAAATGGTCTACACCGGCTAACCCGTCATCTCCTAGTCTAATGAGCTCTCCAATGGAGTATCTTTCCAACCGATAATTCTATGATGGCGGAATATAGCCATAGCTCTGCTGGGTATTTGTGAATCTGAATATGTACAAAGAATATGCCATAGGCGAAAACTGTGCATGTTGATCAACTTCAGGAAGCAGGACTGGGCGGCAACTCGCCTGTGAACCAGTCGCTCGCAGTCTCGCCAAGTTCGAATTCAAGGGTTCCTCCCTGGGCGAATATATCATCCCATGTGAGCCAGTTCTTCTTCCAATCCTTTCCGTTCAACCGAAGTTTCTGCACATAGATTTGACTATCGCCGTTCCCGTCGCCGCCGGTCGCGGCAATGCTTAGTTTCTTTCCGTCCCCAAGCTCAATAGTCAAGGACTCGAACCACGGAGAATGAACCAAAAAGGTCGTTTGCCCTGTGATGGGATACAGACCAATCATATTCCATAAAAGCCAGGTCTGCATGGCACCGGCATCACTGTTACCAGGGAGACCTTTAACTCCAGCGCCATAATAGGTTTTTGCGATGTTGCGCGATCGGGAAACTGATAGATCCTGTCGATTGATATAGTGGTACAGATACGGGATATTGAACATCCTAATGCGACCATCAGCGACACTATTTACGCCGAAATGGAGCCACCAACGAAAGCCAAGGCTGATAGAAGGACAAGAAGACTTACGGTTCGTTGGTGGGATCGAACATAATGCCACTAGAGCCACTGGCCCCCTCGGTGAACATGGTGTTCAAGCGCTCTAGGACAGTCTGGGCCCCGCCCATCATCTCGATCATCTGCTCCATGTCGTGAACACTTGCCCAAGAATACGCCCAGGAGTTGGCCTCGTAGTACGGGTCTCCCCAGTAACCACTGTCCTTCAGCGGATCCGTTTCGATGAAGCCAGTGGTGTCACGTGGAACCACGAAGCCGGAAAATCCCAACGAGGTCTGGTTCGAATTCCAATGATTTCTCCAATTCCTTGACCGGTTCAGGTATTTGTCTGCGTCTTCAAGATTCTCAAGACCGGATGCTACTTGATAGAGGCCGAAGTCGTTACAAGAGTACTCAACTGCCCGGGTGACGGCACGGGTGTATTTCGGTGTGATAAACCCGAGACTCAGCCAGTCTGGCAGTGCACCTCGTCCCTCTTTGGTTGACGAATCTGGCGCCATAGAGTCGACCGGGTCGTTTGGCGGAGCCACTTCAGCATCTTTTACCATTGCCCGGTACCCGTCTTCCCAGTTAACTGCTCCACGGACCCCTTTCACATAAGCATCGGCAAGGATATTGTCGGCATTGGAACCACCTTGTGTTCTTCCGTTGTAGTTCGACGAGCGAGCGTCCGGGAGATAGCCTTCAAACCGCCAGATGTCAATTAAAGAGCGAATTTGTTCTTCATATGCCGCGGGCTGCAGGACTTGCATGAGAGCAGTAGAGCAACGGAAAAGGTCCTGAAACTTTATTAGTCACGAGGGAACTCGTGTCTTTGTGGGTGAGGCTTCCGCAATCACACGTACCCAGTAAGTGAAAATGTCTTGATAGTATGGCTCAGAAGATACCCAGCCAGGGTTCTCCCCGGTCTGGTTGGTTGGGATCAGATGCATGAAGTAGAGGGATGTGTACAACAAAGTGAGGCTTGTATCATTCGTGTTCGTGGTCGTCACTTTAGACAAGACCTTGGAGCTCCATTCAGTCTGGGTGTCGCGAACAACAGATGTGAATTTTGTTCCTTCCGGGATTTCGTCATGGACATTTTGGCATGCTTTCTCCGTGGACAGCCACGAGATGCCGACGCGCGACGTGACTACAGTCTGCTGGAAGGTGAACACACCTCCAACACGTGTTGTACTCGAGGATGAAGATGCAAATCCGGTGGTCTGCTCGACACTCCCTTCCGCATCGCTTCCAGTGTATGTTGTGTTACGAACTGGAGCAGCATCAAAATAACCACCTACAAGAACGTCAGTCTTGGTTCATCATTGAGGTCTAAATACGAAAAACTCACAGAAATAGATCGACCAATCTGGTGAACGATTCCAGCCGTTATCATACACACCCTGACCTTCATAATGTCCATCGGGAAAGATGGTGATGTTTCCACCTCGATACCCTTGTCCAAGTCCTTGTCCTCGAAACGAGGGAAGGACGTGTGAAACATCGACCAAGACATTCCCTGTCGATCCTTTGGGAAACGTATACTGATACACCCCTGCATGAGCCGATGCGCTCAACTCGACGATAGTCCCCTCAGACGTCTGCGCCTTGTAGTAGCCCACAGATGCCTCATCAGTGCCTGCCCGGGCGACAGTCTTATTCGATAGGGGATGACTTATGTTTCCGATTAAGGGCAGCTGGGAAACTGTCCCGTACTTGGGCGCTCCCCCGGTACCTTGTTCATGCATCATGCTGAAGCCGGAGAATGCACCATTGGGAAGGTAGCCCGAATAGGCATCTGTGCCTGAGATGAACAGATCGGGGCCCAGCTTTACCATACCAAAAGGTCGAGCGACACCGGGGAAGTTATTGCCCCCATTTTCTGTGCCCAAGCTTCATGAGATTAGAAGCCGGTTGGTATAAGATCTGCGCAAGATTCGAGCCTTGATACTTACAAGAGATTTACGTGGGATGTTAAATCAGCAGACAGGACCAGTGGCTGTAACAGTGTCAGCGCCAGAAAGGCGCCCAACAATGCCATGGTCACGAATGTTCCTAGAAGGATGCCCGTTAGAGTCGCCAGTCTTCCTATCTTCTTTGATGGTATCTCGGGAGCTGTCCTACAAGGAGCGGAACACAATTCAATCACACGTAGCTTGCATCAAGAAGCACCTCTGGCTGTAATCAAATCCAATTTATTCTTTAAAAATGAAAAATCACGCCTCTGCGGGGTGTTACACAGCCATTCCCTAAGGTACGAGGAAGTGACGAGGGGAAGGTGCGAGGCCACTGATGGCAAAGGACAGTCGCACATGCCCTCATCACAGGCAATCTCATGGCTGTGGGTGTTGTCCAATACATGGGTGTGAAAGCATTGTGGGTTCGGGAAAATGCAAGGATGGAAGTGTATTGAAAGGAGATGGAGCATGCCCGATCGTTTAGCGTCAAAAGGGGGGGGGGGGGGGGGGGCCCTAAAAATTGGGATAGTTGGATATACAAGGAAGTCATTGCCCCGCCAGTATCTATTGATAGAGAACGGCAGTCTTGATCATTACTAGCAACCCATGGATACAGAATAGGAGGGCACATTCTTGCCCCTGAATCAGCCCTACCGGAATGTCCCCTTTGCCTGTTGGCAAACAAATCTTTTTTAAAAAAAAGAAACAAAACCCCCGAAGCCACAAATGAGAGAATGAAACAACCGGGGTAAGTATAGACAATGTAAGTACTGCTCGCTACATCGCTATCTGTGCTAGATGTTCCATTCTGGGATACACATATGGGAATCAGTTCTCGTGAGAGTTATCATTCTCCAGTCACAAGCCAAGTTGGTGCACATGCCATTCTTTTTACCGACAACTTGTTGAATCACACCGGTCTGTTCCTCATGCAGCTAAGACTCTACAGTATGTGCCGTTGTCGATCACCTCACCTTCAGTACTAGTAGTAGTATGGTCTAGCATCCAGGGTCATGCCTTCTGGACCGGTGATCATTGCCACCACCGCCAATGATCCGCCCACATGCTCGACTCAGGGGTTCTGTCCAGAACAAACATGATTGGTTGGTTCCTGAAGATAGTGTCAGGTGATTGGCCCGTGATATTACATAAGCACAGGTTAGAGCCTGAGGAATTTCTCCCTTGCGTTGGGCAAGGAAGGCCTGTAAAGTCTAGATGCATGGCAATTTGTTATCTCAGACGATGTATCATTTTGGGGGCTGTAATATCAACTGGAAGCTTGTAACCCTGCTACCATTTGTTATTTTATAAAAGAACGCCGTGGCATGCTCGACATATTCAATTAATCGGGATTGTCTGAATCACACATGGGGTTTCATCTCATACGTCCGTCGATATGTATCGTCGACGTGGACCAGGTAGTACGTGCCGGGCGCGAGGCTGTCAACACTTCCCGTAGGGGTGTAATCCTTCTGTTGGTAGGCCTTCTCGCGGAGTTGACACATCTAAAACGGTCAGCACATTTTCAATTTAGGGCAATACATTTATTGAACAGCACACCTGATCATAAAATTCAGGGGACACCGCTGTGCGGGCATCCAAACGACCATGCAAACAGATTTTTTGCGCCATTTCGGTAATGTCGCCCTTGACCTGCAAGCTGAACATGGTACTGGCAAGACCGCCGCCATAGCTGAACATGCCAATACGCTTGTTCTGCAGTTTCTCACTCGGGACGTTGCTCAATAGACTCACTAGCGCCGAATATATGCTAGCTGTATACATATTGCCACAGTGGGCCGGGGCTGTAAGGGACGACTGGATACGGTCTGAGAACTTGTCCTGGGCCAGTCTGATACAGAGCTTCTCAATGCTCTTATCTGCCAAAGATGCCGTATATTCGACATCTCGAATCTCAGACGGGACATGATCGAAACGATCTGGTTCCAATCGGAAGTCATTGAATAGCAAGCGACCATATGCCTTGGCTACTAACTTGCAGTTGGGGGCATGGAATACCATGTAGTCAAAGGTATCTAGAAAGCTACTCTTGCTACTGGTCGCCATCCCGTTCAACCCGCCACTTCTGTCGGCCAGCTTCTTGCTGCGATAGCGTTGATAGCAATTATCCAGCGCCTGAAGATAACAGGTGTTCGAGAAGTGCCCATCTACCAGAGGGTATTCGGATTTGAGATCGGCTTTATAGAAGTCATACACATGCTTCATGTACGACGCGCGGAGTGGCTCCAGAACTAGGGGTGCATCTGGACCGATGAGCATGGCCACACAGCCGACGCCACCTGTCGGGCGCGCTGCCGGCGTATTGTACAAGGCAATATCGCCCGCGACAACAATAGCGTTACGCCCATCCCAGGCGGACGATTCAACCCAGTTCACGGCGTTGAACAGTGCGTTTGTTCCCCCATAACAGGCGTTGCATGTGTCGACGCCTTCGATATCGGCGTTGTCACCGAACAATTGCATGAGGACAGACTTGCAGGACTTGGACTTATCCAAGATGGTTTCTGTTCCGACTTCAAGGCGACCGATCGTCTCTGGGTCGATTGAGTATTTTCGGAGCAGGGAAGAAACAGTGGTGAGGGCTAGGGAGTAGATATCTGTCCATCATGGTCAGCTCACTGTGTTGAAGGAGCTTAGTGGCCCTTGTTTCAGTCTACCTTCCCGGTCATCACAGAAGCTCATCTTCTGCTGCCCGAGCCCGACGGTGAATTTTCCGGCACTGGCCCCTAGAAAGGTCTCGAGCTCCGGTTGCGGTACATACTAGATTCCGCTCTGGTTAATATTTTTCTAGGTGATTCAAAGAGGTTCAGGGCATACACGACTGGGAAAGTAGATCTCGATGGCCTTGATGCCAATGTTCTGGGGTGTCGATGGCATATTGACGAACTGCAGATATGGAATAACACAACGTGCTCACAAGGTGAATGTCTGACGATCGAAGAAAGGAAAGCAAATCGATGGAATACAAAGGGACACCATTCGACAACGTTTCGTCTCCAATATATCCCCTGCTGACAGCTTCCTTTTTACCGGTACAGTATGAGGTCTACTATGTAGATCAGGTACTATGCTACCTAAACACGCGCTAACACCATGGTGAATCCACCACGGGCTGTGTGGGATAGGCGCTACAGTGTATATTCGAGCACCTTGGTTCTAGCTTCCCTCATTGGACGGATAGGTGCTGACCCTGTCTCATTTCTATAGAAACCTGCAGACTACCTATACTTAAATGAAACATACTGTTGCCTACTACATGATGTACATGTGTATGTTAGCGGTGGCTTAGACAATAGTCGGGCCACCAATTGGCCTTATTGATCTGACATGCGAGTAAATGGGGGTTGCAATTGAGGTTTAACCTCACATGCCTTAATTTCTATGAGGTCTTCTAAATGTAATAATAGCCAACCATCGGTTTACCGGAGCCTACTCTATGGTAGCAATAGCAGCACTGTACTTAATCCGCCTCCTGTTTATGCTGTATTTGTCTTTTTGCAGTTGATGAATAACCATACTTTGTTATAATAACACCACCAATATATCTCCTCGCACGTACACATAATGGTCACCCTTTCATGTCCTATGCTATGCACGGCATAATTTATAAGCAAACGTATTACCAGAACCACAATGTACAACTAACGATAATTAGCTATTTGTCAATCGATAGGCAAAATCGAATAATTAGCTGACATTATCCCAGTTAAGGAAAAAACTGTCTTCTGTTGCCGTTAATTATAATCTCCTCGAAAGCGTTGGACAAATTAAAACAATGGCTTCCTGTATCCATCTCGCCGAAGAATACCAAATCTAGTTACCACCATTGGTATATGCTGTCAGATGCAGCATATTGCCTTACGAGGTATTACACCCTTGAATCTTATTAGGAGTGGTACAACGTAGGGCACCATTGAGATTGATCCTTTTGTCGTGAGGTTTTCACGTTGCATGTAATGGGAGTACATGTCTACATTGGCTTCAATCTTTCCTTTATTGTTCGAAAAGATAAAGAGCACAGAAAATAATGTACTAGACTGGGGCTACAATATAGTGATTAGTACTTCTGAGATAGCTTTTGTATCACGAGAACCGCAGCAATTGTTTTCTTTAACCGATCCTTGCCATCTCACCATGAATACCTGTGTAGGTGGGCCATGGGCGTGCTGCTCATATAATCTTGGTAGTCATTGGTAATTTGGATAATATCTATTCCGGGACAGGTATATACATAGGTCTCTTGTGAAGATATTGAGTAGATGGTGTGTGGAAGATAGTAGAAGTGATTACATGCCCTCATAAGTCCTACGACCACAACTGCCAGGCCGGGATGCTTAGTGAGGGGGGAAGGCTTAGGGTGTACCTCTCCTAGCTATATTATATTGAAGGACTAATGGCTCATCTTTGGCTGTCGGTGAGAGATGTCTATGCATGAGCTGCCTGCGTCTAAGTGGGTAATCTTCGGCCGAGCCGGTCGTGACTTCACCGGTGAAGATGACGACTATATTGGAGTATTGGAAAGAATTTATCCATATATGATGGTTTGATATGCCGGCTGGAGCATTCTAGAAGAAAACACCATTGGCTGCTGAATGACTTTCGTTAAAGCTAATGCAAAGGTGCAGTGTAGTTAGGTCATGCCATAGTAAGGATGATTGGAGAAGATCTTCCTGCTAGACGGATCAGCACCACCTTCCCTACCAGGCATGAGATTAAATGGCATCATAGACGAAGAGCTGACAATGATTTGTCTGGCATCGCAGAGTAATTCTTTACGTATGGCCCTGATATCTGGTGGATAGAATGGAGTCTAGTCTCATCTTGGCGACCGCATTCAGTGGACGGAAAAATCACACCCCGCGAAGAGGGCAGAATTTCTCCGTCCGTATCCACATCGCGGAGTCCAAAGAAGCATTGCCGAGTCACGTCCATTCCCCCGGAGTAGCTTGCCATAGGGCACCGTGCGCGGGGAGAGGGAAAAAAAAGAAGGGGTTGCCACTGGGGTTTGCGGGCGGCGCCGCCAGTGCCTATCGCGGTGCTTAGCATCGTCGACAGCAGCCTATCACAGCCCAGATATGTCTTCCTGGGTGGAGGAGAGCTATGGAGCCCTTCGTTGACCCATTGATGGGGACAAGTCTGGGGAGGATTGGGGAATATAATGCGGGTTTCCCCAGAGGTCTCTCTGGCTTTTCTTTTCTCGAGACGGCCCTTCTTGGTTGAACTGTCTGTCACCTATAGGTCCCTGACCAATTTCGCCAAAATGGGCTTCTTCAAGAATTACCGTGTTTATGTCCTCACGGCAGTGGCCTACTCCGGGTCCCTGCTTTTCGGTACGTCTCCTTGTTGATGCAGACTGGCTTGTGGTACATGGACTAATGATGGTCTGTAGGATTCGACACCGGAGTGATGGGCAGTGTCCTTGCTCTGGACAGCTTCAAGAATGATTTCGGTCTGGCGGGATCCGATGGATTTGCAGACGCGGCAAATGCCCAGGTTTCCTCCAATGTGGTGTCTCTGCTCACCGCTGGCTGTTTCTTCGGTGCCATCGGCGCCTCCTTCCTCAATGATTACCTCGGACGTCGCTACTCCCTCATGATCCTATCTGTCGTGTTCCTGATTGGAGCTGCTATTCAAGTTGGCGCAAGCCATGAAATTGGTATGATCTATGGTGGCAGAGTCGTGGCCGGATTGGGTATCGGCGGCATGTCCAGTATCACACCGGTGTTTGTGGGCGAGAGTGCCCCCCCGGCGGTACGAGGTCGCATTGCAGGAATGTTCCAGGAGTTTCTGGTCATCGGAAGCACCTTTGCCTACTGGTTGGACTATGGTGTGGCACTGCACATTGCACCCAGCACTAAGCAATGGCGGATTCCAGTTGCGATCCAGCTCATCCCGGGCGGGCTCATGCTGATCGGACTCTTTTTTCTCAAAGAGTCCCCTCGCTGGCTGACCAGCAAAGGCCGCCATGAAGAGGCGCTGCAGTCTCTGGCGTACATCAGAAATGAGCCCACCAGTAGCGAGGTGGTGCAGACTGAGATAGCCGAGATCCGCGCCTCCATCGAGGAGGAGCAGGCCGCGACCGAGGGATTGACCTATAAAGAGTTCCTGCAGAAGAGCAACCGAAACCGCTTCCTGTTTGCCGTCGTACTCATGCTCTGCCAGCAATTTTCGGGCACAAACTCCATTGGATACTATGCGCCCCAGATCTTCCAAACTGTCGGTCTTAGCGCAACCAACTCGTCGCTTTTCGCCACAGGTGTTTACGGAACCGTCAAGGTCGTCGCGACGGCGATATTCCTGTTCGTCGGTATTGATCGCTGGGGACGGAAGAAGAGTTTGATTGGAGGCTCAATCTGGATGGCTTCCATGATGTTTATCATCGGTGCCGTCTTGGCCACTCACCCACCTGACACATCTGCGTCAGGGGTTTCTCAGGCTTCCATTGCCATGGTCGTCATGATCTATCTTTATGTCATTGGGTACAGCGCCTCATGGGGACCAACCCCATGGGTCTATTTAAGTGAGGTAAGACTAGTCCATCTATACGAGAAACCAGCATACTATCCGAGACATCCTCTGACTGACTCCCGCTCTAGATTTTCCCAACACGCCTGCGTGCATATGGTGTTGGCCTGGGAGCAAGCAGCCAATGGCTGTTCAGCTTCGTTGTTACCGAATTTACTCCCCACGCGGTGCACAACCTGGGCTGGCGGACATTCCTCATGTTCGGAATCTTCTGCGTGGCCATGGGCGTGTTTATCGTCTTCTTCGCCAAGGAAACCAAGGGCCGCTCTCTAGAAGAGATGGACGTTCTCTTTGGGGCTGTCGATGAAAACGAGCGCCGTGCTGCCGTGGAACATACCCTGAACAAGGGCGTGGTCTCTCATATCGAGCGGACCGAGGAGGACAAAGTCTAGACTGCTTAGGCCATGATGCGACGATCGAATTATTGTATAAAACGGGGGAAATTGATAATAGAGCTTAGTCAGGAATATAGCCATCCCAACATATTCTCTTCATTCCATTGTTTCCATTCGTGTGACGATCAACATGCGCTATTAAATTAGGGTTGCACCAGGATGGCAGAGACAAAGGCCAACCGTTACTAGTCTTCCCATCCCAACAGCCGCCAACGTTAATCTCCTTCATTGTGATCTCCACGAGCCGTACCCAAGTCAGGTACCCGAACGGCCAGCCTCCATGATTCACAACCGGGGACGTTTTATACGAGGCAATTGAGACATTTTCTTTAATATAGAATTGTGGCTCTTGGCACTGATGTAATCGAAAACATCGCAATCTTCCCTGTGCAACCCTAACAGCTCAAAAAGCAAACATCGCTGACAGAATTGTTCTAGAAAAGGGGCACCATGCATCGCCCGAACACAGTCCCTGTAGTCCTAGTAGTATAGGCAAGGGGGCGAGTCAGGGTTCCTCCAATATCAAAGCCTCCCCACGTAACCCAACTCCACAGTATCGAGCGCAGGTGACACGATCGCCGCTTCGTATTGTTCACTGCATCCGCGAGGGAGATGAATAGCCTCGAATTTGTCAGTGCAGTGAAAACAAGGGCCCCGTTTATCTTTTAGGCACCGTGAATGCCCCGCTTTCCAATTCCTATATAAGACGAGAAAAGTTCATATTGACCAAATATCCGAACTTCACCTTTCTCGTCAGCTTCAATCCTTCTCCGTTCGGATTACTTGCAACTATGCTGTTTTACAGGGCTGTCGGCGGACTTCTGTGTCTCCTGGATGTCTGTGTGACGGTGTCCGCGTTCACGTGTGCGTATCCGCCCCTTATCCACGCGACGAGAGACGACCTTGCTGGTGACATTCGGGCGAATTGCTATTCTAGTGTTGATTTGGTTAAGGTTCGTTCTTGGGTCGTGGTGCTGGTGGTTGGGTTGATGGCTGATTGGGTATAGGCGTATGTTGCCCGGATCAATGAGGTCAATTCTACTCTTCGCCCGATCCTGGAGGTTAACCCGGATGCATTGCGTGATGCCGAGGTGTTGGATGGGGAGAGACAGGATGGTTCTAGTCGGGGGTAAGTATAGTACCAATCTGATTTAGGCTTCTTGATTGCTATGTGCTGATGCTTGATTTAGAGAGCTGCATGGTATGCCGATTCTGGTCAAGGATAGTATTGGAACGGCGGGTAAGATGCAGACGACAGGTACATACATATCTCCTCTGGTTCATACTGGTAGTGCCCATTACTCTTGAGTACGCTTGGCTGATGTGTGTTTGTGCTTAAGCCGGCTCTTATTCGCTCTATGGTTCTCGAGTGCGTGAGGATGCTACTGTCGTGAGGAGACTCAAGGATTATGGAGCCATCATCCTCGGAAAGACGAGTATGTCGGAGTGGATGAATTTCCGTTCGTCGAATACGTCCAGTGGCTGGAGTCCTAGGGGCGGACAAACGCTGGGAGCTTATCATCCGATGCAGGACCCCGAAGGAAGCTCAAGTGGTAGCGCTGTGGCAGTTGATCTCGGGCTGGCTATGGCAGCTCTTGGAACGGAAGTAAGTGGCGGCGCACTGTGTCACATGTAGGCGCATAATATGTTAACCCAGGAGTCTAGACAATGGGAAGCATACTATTTCCCAGCGGGGTGAACAACATTGTCGGAATCAAGCCAACAGTCGGCCTTACTTCACGCTACGGCGTCATCCCTATCAGCGAGCGTGAAGACACCATTGGCCCAATGGCTCGGACCGTCAGAGATGCAGCGTGGGTTCTGGAGGCGATTGCAGGCAGAGATGAGAGGGATAACTACACACTTGCTTCACCTTACCCATCTGTCCCCTCCTATGCCAATGCCTGCCAGTTGGACGGGCTACAGGGGAAGAGGATTGGTATCCCACGGAATGTCCTAGCCTCCTTAGCTATGGGATCACAGGGCCCCGCAGTTCTCTCCGCATTTGAAGCCGCCGTAGCTATACTCACTCAGGCGGGTGCTACTATTGTGCAGGATGCGAACTTCACAGCTTGGGAGGAGTTTCCCAATAGCAAGAGCGTAATACAGGTTCTTAATGCTGATTTCATCTCCAATATCGAGAGTTATCTCTCTAAGCTGGAGACCAATCCGAATAGCATACACACCCTACAGGATCTCAGAACATACACACAGAGTGACCCGCGAGAGGAGTACCCAAGACGTGACACAACCCAGTGGGATATAGCACTCGCCGTTGGAATCAACAACACGTCTCCGGAATTCTGGCTAATGTGCCAGAATAATCTCCGCCTAGGAGGCGAAGGAGGTGTGCTGGGGGCTCTTACGCGCCACAAGCTCGATGCTGTCATTCTTCCTACATCGCTGGCTGCCTACGTCCCATCAGTCGTCGGTACGCCGGTCATCACAGTCCCGCTTGGGGCATATCCGAATGGGACGAGAACCGTATACAATAAGTTCGGCAATTTGGTTCAGGTGGCCGAGAACATTCCTTTCGGAATAAGCTTTCTGGGGGCACACTGGAGTGAGAGGACGCTGATAGGGATGGCTTATGCATTTGAGCAACGGACCCTATTCAGACAGAAGCTCAGGCACTACATCGAGCCACATACTGAGATTGTGGGGCGACTAGAAGGCGGGGACGATGGGGTGTGGACATAAAGCTACTTTCATATTAGATTATGGGTCTCTCACGTAGATAACAGTTGATTTAAGCTCTTAAGCTCTTTTTAGTTCGAATGCTCTCGTTCGATGGCTCCATATAAACTCGGCAAAACGACCGACATCTCAAGATGGTACTACTACCTGAATAGGTTTAGTCTCAGATGGCCGCGGTCAGATAAGAGCAGCCGAGAATCTTTGCGCGGGGTCATCGTCCGCCCTTTTCATTCTGAGATTGAAGGCGGAACTGCCTCTCTTTCAACCCGTTGAACCCCTATCGCTTAGAAATGGGACACATCGAAGATACTTGCGCCTCCTTGCGCGCCCAGATCGCCGCCACCGAAGCACAGCTAGCCGGGCTGAAACGCGAACTCGAGAGCGCTGAGCAAGCGGCTATTAAGGCCAGGACGCAGGACGCCCCAAACCCTACCACTACGGCCAGCACCCAAAGTAGCGAAAAGAGAAAGTGGCCGCTCCTGGACGAGGAATATCGACGCTATGGAAGACAGATGATCGTGCCGCAGGTGGGGTTACAGGGTGGGTGGATTTCTTCTCGTCAGAACCAACGTCCCTCGAGGTGCCATTGCTAAAAGCTATGGTTAAATACTGCAGGTCAACTGAAACTTCGATCTGCGAAGGTTTTGATTGTCGGAGCGGGCGGCTTGGGATGTCCGGCCGCGCAGTATCTCGCCGGGGCTGGGGTGGGCACACTGGGACTCGTGGATGGGGATACGGTGGAATCTTCGAACCTTCATCGGCAGGTGCTACATCGGAGCAAGAATGTTGGAAAGTTCAAGGTGGATAGTGCGATTGAGTCTTTGCGCGAGTGAGTTTCATCTGCGTACCCGCGTTTCAATGTGGACGCTAACAGGCGGCTTTCTCTTAGTTTGAACCCTCACCCAACTTACATAGCACACCGAGCGCATCTAGCGCCCCAAGATGCGGCGGATATTTTCAAGAACTACGATCTCATCCTTGACTGTACGGATAACCCCGCGACACGTTACCTGATCTCGGATACGGCGGTTCTGCTTGGGAAGCCATTGGTTTCGGCTTCTGCTCTGCGGACGGAAGGCCAGCTGATGGTGCTAAATAACCCTCCCCGACCGGCAGGAGATAAGACCGGAGGCCCATGCTATCGATGTGTTTTTCCTCGGCCGCCTCCGGCAAATAGCATTCTGAGCTGTGCGGATGGTGGCATTATTGGTCCGGTTGTTGGTACAATGGGAGTACTGCAGGCGGTAGAGGCAATCAAGGTGATTACAGCTGCGGACGAGGAAGTTAAGCCTCCATCGCTACATATCTTTTCGGCCTATTCGTCCCCGTTATTCCGAACCATTAAACTGCGTTCGCGCCGACCGAACTGTGCGGTGTGCTCTGCTGAGGCTAGCGTGACGTTGGAAACCGTCAAGTCAGGGTCGACCGACTATGTTTTCTTCTGTGGAAGTGTCAGCCCAGAGAAGCTGTTGCTCCCGGAAGAGCGCATCTCGCCGCTGGAATATCAGACGAAGCATCCGCTGGCAGACTCCACTGAGGCCATCGAAACGGTCAGCAAGGGACCCACAATCATTGATGTTCGGGAGAAGGTTCAATTCGACATCTGCAGCTTGGAAAATAGTATCAATATCCCCATCTCGTCTATCCTGTCGTCGACGACGAAAGCCGCCCAGAATGGCGAAGTAGCCAATGGATCGAATCCACTGCCCCCGTGGCTGCCAGCAGATATCGCCTCTTCGGACTCCATCGATCCGATCTATGTGGTGTGTCGACTCGGAAACGATTCCCAGATCGCAGTCAAACGACTGAAGGAGCTGGGTCTGGACCGCGGAGGCGAAAGAGTCGTGGCGGATATTCGGGGTGGATTGCGCGCCTGGCGCGAACAGGTTGACCCCGAGTGGCCCGAATATTAACGACATAACCATACCTATATGTACATAGCCAGCCAAAACCATAAAAACAAACCGCAAATCGCAAACCACACACCTCATCAAACATAACATTCCAACCCATTCATATCATAAACCTCATGAAAAGCTCATCTCACAGAAACAGGCGTCTCCTCCAACCAAGCCAGTCAACACTCACCCGCCCCAGATCCAAATCCGCCAACTTCTTAAAAACCGCCCGACTAACATCCAGATCCTTGACGGCACATCCAGTACCTAGCAGCTGACAATTAGTCCCAGAGTCACAATTGACCCCAGCGAGGAAAACAAAAACAAAGCAAAACGGGGAACAAGAAAAGAATACATACACCGATCCACAATCGTAACATCAACACTTGCCTCTCCCCTCTTCAGCCTCACCTTCATCCCACAAAGCGGGTTCGCATTCGGATTCGACCCCGTCGACGCAGCATCAAAGAGAACATGCGACACCGCGCAGATCAAATCCGAATTGGAACTGGTGATTCCGCATGAGCCCAGGGCCGGGTCGTAGTATGTCAGGTCGCCTGTGTAGGGGCCTCCGTTGGCTGTGGGGAGAGGAAGGTTTTGTTTGCTTGTGAAGTGAGGTTGGAGTGTTAGTATGGTTAGAAGTTTGGAGTTTAGGTCGGGTGGGAGAGAGACTTACGAATGCCGGGTTAGACCGACTGCAAGACCGACGATCAGGGCGAGTAGGAGTAGGGCGATTGCGATTGAGAGGAGGAAGAGGCGTTTTTTTCTTTCTGGGGAGTTGGGTCCATTGCACTGGAGGCCATTTTGGCGTTTGGGGGTGGGGTTTGGGTTGGTCAATTGTTGGTGCTGGTTGTGGTGGAGGCACGGGCTTGCGTTTGGGTATGCCGCCTGTTGGTAGGTGGGTTTGGGGGTCTGGGGTAGACATGCTTAAGGACTTGATGTTTTATACATCTGGGGTTGGAGGTGGGTAGGTGGAATTGTAGGTAGGTAATGGTTTGTGGGGATCGATTGCTTTGTTTCGTTTCATCTCTGGTTGTTTGTTCAGGGGTAAAGGGACTCTTGGCGGGTTCTTTGGTTTAATTAATGCATGGGTGATATTGAATTGGGCGCTTGTGTAGCTTTGGGTGGGCGTAGTGTTCTGGATATGTTGTTGGCATGTCTGTGTGCCCGAGGGGATTCAACAGGTGTAAGTCAGCATAGGAATGGGTAGTTATACGATTTGTGTCGAGAACTGAGGAAGCTATCTCACCATATGTCTTGGTTGTGATGGACAGATAATTCGAGATCTAACTATTCCGTAGGGAGCGTATCAGGTCCATGTAAGGAAGGTCTTTAACCAGATTGAGTTTAGAAGGGATATTGTTGGTGATAGTGTAGAGTTACTATGTGGAACTAACATAATTCAATTGATAACGACGGTCGGGCTCTGACTAATATACTTTGATGCTTGAATGGTTAGATTATAGGTCTATGGAAATTCCACAATCATCAGTCCGATGATGTTTGCTAATAGTCCGCCGAGAAACTGTGTCTTAATTCTGCTGGGTTATGCTTGACTCCGAAATCCCAGATTTTGATATCCGATGCTTCCCACGTGTTTCCCTTCAATTTCCCTCTGTTTCATTGAGTAGTAGTCATAAACCTGCACAATGACGCAGTTATCGCTCTTCCCCAGACTTCCCGATGTCGCTTTATGTGGGGACCAGCATCCTCACTCTCCGTTCACAGAAGAAGAATCTTCTTGGCGCCGATCGTCGTCCGCGTCCTCGTCTCGGCTCAAATCCTTACTCCATCCCCACGTGGAGTCAACATGAATTTTTTTGACTTTCGTCCTTGCTCTTGAAGCCCCCTGTTATCCCCACTCATTCTTGCCAACTGGACCCGGCGACATACCTCTTGAACTGCGCGGCGAACCTGGGATAGTTTTATGGGAAATCGCTTCACGTTCCGTCATCTGGTCACGTGCTCCGAGACGGAAGTTATCAATGAGGGGTTTCTGATCGGCATTGTTCATGATCCAAATTGCCGGGAGTTGGAAAGGGAAACAGAGAGGGTGCCTAGTAGAGCACGACGCGACTCAACATGTCGCAACGCAGTTCCGAGGATTCGCAATGGCCGCTGCCGGAGGAACCGGAGGCAAAGGCAGAAAATAAACAAAAGAAAGGCCTCATGGCGAAACTAAAATCAGGTTGGAATAGTCTGGGCCTGGATATGCCGACTGTTCTCCTGATGATGAAGTAAGATCACATGATACCCATCCTGTATCCGAGCTAATAATGGTATAGAGGCGCTATTCCACCGACAATTGCTCTGGCGATGTAAGACCTTGGTGAAACAGCTTGTCGATTAGATAAACTAACATCGACCAGCTTTCAGGCCGATTCGGTGGCCTCCAGATTCAATACGGTGGGATACCTCATGGCCATCATATCTGTCCTGGGCTTTTCAATCCAGCCTCGCGCCAAGTTTATCCAGATGTTGGTCCTTGACGTGTTGGCCGTCTGTGTGGCATCCGCTGTTACCCTGCTCATGATGTACTCGTGTGTGAAGGCACGGCAGCACACGGAGGTGGTGTCTAGCGCGGGTGATAGTATCGTCAACACGCCGTATAACCAGTCGGCGTCGGCTGTTAGCGGTGTCTGGTTGTTCTTTCAGATTTACGTTGTCCATTCGTTTCGGGCCAAGTTCCAGCAGTTCCAGTTTCCGGTTATCATCTACTCAATTGTGGCCAACGTAACTTTCAGTTATGCTCCCCGCATGACTACAATGGATGCTGCTATATCCATGGTCACGAAGTTGCTTGAGGCATGCTTGGTTGGCTTGGCCCTGGCTACTGGGGTATGCTTATTTATCTACCCCGTCACTTCGCGGACGGTAGTGTTCAAGCAGATGACCGGCTATGTAGGATGCCTGCGCGGGGCTCTTCAAGCTCATACAGTCTACTTCGAGTCTCTGGAAGAGAGTGACATGTTTGGTAGAGCAGAAACATATGATTCAAGGGTCGAAAAAATCACCAAGGACGGCAAGGTGTACAGTCCAGAGGCACAAGCCATCCGAACAGCAGTGCAGAAAATCACCGAGATCCATGGTAAGCTTCACGGGGATTTGACCTTCGCCAAGCGTGAGGTCGCGTTTGGCAATCTCGGGCCCGATGACCTTCAAGCGATTTTTCGAAACCTTCGACAGGTCATGATCCCTGTCGTGGGTTTGAGCTTTACCGTGGACTTGTTCCAGCGGCTGTCTGAATATAATAAATGGAATGCGCCCATTGATCCCACAGCGACTGATATACCGGATCTGGTACGTCACCGCGTGGTCCAAGAATGGAACGATATCATGCGGGCGGTGCATGACCCCTTCAAGTCTATGATTCAGGCGATAGACGAGGGTCTCCAGCATATCTCATTTGTGCTCAAACTGGCAAAGCCACCAAAGAAGAATGCTACTACCGGAAAAGGCGAGGCGTCATCGAGTGGTGCGGAAGATGTTGAGGCTTCCGCTGTGCCAATTCCGGGCGACAAGAATTTCGCAGCCCATCTTGAACAGAGACTCCGTGACTTCAAGGTCGCTAAGCGGATTGCCCTTCGAACGTGGAGTGAAGAGAAGGGAATCAAACTGCCGAAAGACTTTTTCGACCGCCCTACGGATGATATGGAAGACATCAGCTATGGCGATCCATTCATTGGCCGAGAGCGGAGCCAGAGACAGTTGTACTTGTTCCTCTATGTAAGTATCTTGCTCCTACTTGGTTGTTACCAAATACTAACAACGACTAGATGGAGCAGCTACTCAGTTCAACCGGCCAGACGATACTTGACTTTGTAAAGTTTGCGGACGACAAACGTGAAAGTGGAAAGCTTTCAAGACGCCATCTAATTATACCGGGCTGGAAGCGTTTGCGCAAATGGGCCACAAGTTTACTCAAGGCGGAAGACACACACGAAGATGACAATATGGGCGACATCAACGCTCAGAATAATATTCTTCAGCTGGGGGAGGCATACAAACACAGGAAAGATCCAGAGCATCTGCGGCCTGAGACTACTTTTCAAAAAATAGGTGATAAGGTCAGGCTCATTCCTGCGATGTTCCGCACTCAAGAGTCAGCGTACGGTTTCCGAGTCGCGTGCGCTACGATGACCATCGCCATTGTTGGCCTCCTTCACGATACTCAGGGCTTCTTCATTAAGCAACGCTTTATTTGGGCCATGATTATGGTTAATCTCAGCATGACCCCTACCTCTGGACAGAGTATATTCGGCTTCGTGCTCCGTATATTTGGGACTGTATTGGCCATGGTTCTCAGCTTTTTGTGCTGGTACATCCCTGGGAAACAGACCCCAGGAATTATTGTTTTCTTTTTCATCTTCTTATCGTGCGTTTTCTATGTGCCAATCAAGCTATTCCGCTTCCGAATTATTGGCATTATCACCATTATCTCAACGTCTATGATAGTTGGATATGAACTCCAGGTTCGCAAGGTCGGCGAGCAAGTCGCAACCTCGAACGGCCAGACATACTACCCCATATATCTCCTTGCGCCCTATCGATTGGCAACGGTGACCGGTGGCATTGCCGTGGCGTTTTTCTGGACATTCTTTCCGTACCCTATCTCGGAACACTCCGTGCTGCGTCAAAGCCTGGGTGCCTCTTTGTACCTTCTGGCCAATTACTACTCGCTCATCCACGAGACCGTGTCGGCCCGAGTGCGCGGTGAGGCAGGTGATATGGCGCTCAAGACTTCGGCGGGGCGCAGGCTTTTGAAGTCCCGTAACCAGGTGTTTTCCAAGCAGATGTTGATGCTGAATAACCTCCGAACCTACTCAGAGTTCCTCAAATGGGAGGTTCCGATTGGTGGCCGGTTCCCCAAGAAGCAGTACGATTCTATCATAGCATGTATCGAAAAGTAGGTATTGCTCACCCCTTCCATATTGCCCCGTGAGCTAACCCTTCGATAGCATCGTGAGTTACCTGAGTCTTCTGGGATATGCTTCAGATACGCTGTTGCAAATCGGTGATGATGGAGAGTCCAACTCTGCCTGGCTGCATGATTTCAAACGGCTGGTTTCCAGTGCAGGTGTCACGACCCATGAGATCACCACAGTGCTCTGCCTTCTCTCCGCCAGTATCACCGATCGCAGGCCTCTTCCCCCTTATCTAAAGACACCGAGACCGTACAGCTTTACCAAAAGGCTCGAAGCTATGGACAAGGATATTTTGAGTCTGAAACATATCGCGGAGCCAGGTTTTGCGACCTTTGCAGTTTTACAAATCTCCACACGATGTATAGGTGGTGACGTAGAGAGACTTATGAAGTGAGTGAAGAAGCCAGCGTTGCAGTGACGCAGCTACTAATTCGGAGCAGGGACGTGAAGAAATTGGTTGGAGAACTCGATTTCTCATTCCATGCTGTCAGCACAGCGCAGAGCGCCAAGTCGTCTGCTGAGGTATCGCGCTTTTCGCGCGCAACCGAGCGGGACAAGCTCGAGTAACTGGTAAATGACCTACAATAGAGTAAATATAGAGAGCGATTGTATTGTTTTAATCATCGAATGATGCCCGGATGATCTACTGTCTTCAGCCGTTGAACACGGGCGCAACTGCCACCGACATGGACAAGGCCTATCTACGACTTCAAGAATAAGAATTTAAAATTTATCTTTCACATAATAGAAGAACTTGTTTCATTTACGTCGACTTTGACGGATTATCGGACGAGATAGACATAACGTGCAGTATATAAAGGCTATTCAACAAGGCACACCAATCGCTCAACATGGCTCATTCGATTTTGAACTGAACAGCGTTCGACTCGAAATCACCCCGGCTTGCGTCTGAAAGTTGTTCAAGTTTGTCATGGACGTCACTCACAGGAGTTTCCCACACTGCGTGCCACCTCCCGTGGGCACGGATCGAGAAGTCATGTCCTGACTGGAGAGGCATAGGTGGGAGAGTCACAACGGTGTCAACCGTGCTCTCTGGAGCGATTTCCAGCAAGTCATCTGCGGAGGGAGGGAGCTTGCGGGAGATCTTGATGGTGTCAAGAGGGACAGCCTGACCGTCTGTCTCGTCCTGCACTTGGAAAACCCCTAGGATGCCGGCCTTTGGGTCGAACGGAGTACCCCATTTGAGCATCGTCACCGGCTCATTGGAGGGATTTTGGATAGAGGCTTTGACCGACACAGCCGTCTGCTGGGATGCTGCTTGGTCGATTGAAACCAGCTGCGGCGCGAGAAGGACCTGGAGAGCTACAGCTGCGGCCATCATTATTGAATTCTTGAGGAGATGAAGGAGTCAGTGGGAGCAAATTAGGGGAGCAGCGGAGAGGGTGACGTGGAGAAAGTGCAGGGAAGGCCGCGGCATTTCACACTCGGGAAGTTATACTGCAGGCAGCGATTCGCCACCGACGCAAAAAGCCAGCCTCGCATCTGTTTCACCTAAATGTCATCACGGCACTCGCAATGAAACCCAAGCTGCGCGATCGGCGATTGATTTTACTCCCGCGCCAATGATCGGCAGAGAACTCACAGGCCAAGTCTGCGTGGCGTGGTATCGTTCTGAGGGGTATTCTCATGATTAGTGATGGGATTTTATGGGGAAACACAAATCCCTGCGACCTCGGATGCAGGGCTTCTGCCTGGCAATTTATTTGCAATCTGCTGGAAACTCTTGGGTAGCATCCTCGGTGAATTATCTGTGGGGTGGACTGTGCGCTAAGCATTTTGGCGTTGCTTATTCCGAGACCAAGAAATCCCTCGACTCACACCATCTGGATGTGTATCCTGACGCCTGACTCGATCTATCGTCGATTCACGACTTTCTCAGGTTGAAGATCTTCACCGGGACAGGAACATGGCTCGAGAGCGGGACAACAGCCAAGACTCGGGAGACCGGCGGCATAGTGACAGCCAAATGGTCTGTCGAGGCCAGATCCAACGGCCCCATCCTTATCGGTGGAGGCGAGCAGATCATATACTGAAACAGACCAAACACAGTCTTTCGGCCTCCGCCGGGCCAAGTCCCCTAAATCAGCTTAGGACTACAGAAAGAAGCCTTCACTTATGATCTTGTCTCTCGAACTTGACGATGTGAGGACGAGTTTTACCTTCGCCAAGAGATCCCTGATATTAAACAATGCAGCTTCGGATACTACCTTCTCTTTACAGCGAGAGATACCGGAGCTATACCCGGGACGACGCCTGGAGATGTACATAATGGCGATTATGAGGGCGATGAGAGAAGAAGGGCCCAAGGCTATAAAAGCGCTCGTGATCCAGCAGCTCTTCACTTAGGATTCAAGGCAATTCAAGACAACCTTGTTCAGTATCTTCCACATTTCAACTTTCTTCCTACGGCCCTCATTTCCAAAACCGCCAGAATGCGTGTCACTACTCTCTCTACAGCACTCTTCGCGTTGGCCTCCACCGCTGCGTCGGCGCCAACCGCTGGGAGCTCGTCTCCTGGTCTTGAAGTCAAGCTGACCCAGATTGACAACACTCGTGTGAAGGCGGTTGTTAAGAACACCGGCAGCGAGGCAGTGTCCTTCGTCCACCTGAACTTCTTCAAGGACGCTGGCCCTGTCAAGAAGGTTGCCGTCTATCGCGGCCGTACGTTTCCCTTTACCACACCAGACATGAATGCCAATGACGCTTATTAACATTACTGTAGAGGATGAGGTCCAGTTCGAGGGTATCCAGCGCCGCCTGAAGAGCAGCGGTATCACCAAGGAGGCTGTCACCTCTCTCGGTGCCGGTGAGACCTTGGAAGATGAGTTCGATATCGCCTCCACCAGCGATCTGGCAAGCGGCGGCCCCGTTTCCATCCGCAGCCACGGATTCGTTCCCATTGTCGTGGACGGCAAGATCACTGGCTACATCCCCTACAAGTCCAACGACCTGACCGTCAATGTTGACGGTGGCAAGGCCGCTAAGGTCGCCAAGGTGCTGTCGCAGCTTACTCGCCGTACCGAGGTCACCGACTGCAAGGGTGACGCCGAGTCTGCGTTGACCACTGCCCTGTCCAACGCCGCCAAGCTGGCGAACCAGGCTGCCGAGGCTGCCGAGTCTGGCGACGAGTCCAAATTTGAGGAGTACTTCAAGACCACCGACAAACAGACCCGCACGACCGTTGCTGAGCGCCTGCGCGCTGTCGCTAAGGAGGCCGGCTCCACCTCCGGCGGCTCTACCACGTACCACTGCAACGACCCCTACGGCTACTGTGAGCCGAACGTTCTGGCTTACACCTTGCCCTCGAAGAACGAGATCGCCAACTGCGATATCTACTACTCGGAGCTTCCTCCCTTGGCCCAGAAGTGCCACGCCCAGGACCAGGCCACCACCACTCTTCACGAGTTCACTCACGCCCCGGGCGTCTACCAGCCTGGTACGGATGACTTGGGTTATGGCTATGACGCCGCTACTCAGCTGAGCGCCCAGGATGCGTTGAACAACGCTGACTCCTATGCCTTGTACGCAAATGGTAAGCATATCCCGACAATATGAATTTGCTGCGAACAGCTGCTGACTGATAATAGCCATCGAGCTCAAGTGCTAAATGTGGAATGATACCTCATATACTCTGCTCTGCAGAGGCTGTATATAGTCCTATACTATCGGTTAGAGTGGCGTGTCTGTGACATGCATGTTTGCAATGATAGGTTGTTATGATTATATTCCGACGTCTTATATTTGATCAATCGTCACCTTCGTTACTGCATTGCCTTGAGGGCATTATCGACTCTCATAGGTATGCCTTCTACGGTATCTACAATACCGATGAAAACTAGACAGCAGAAGGCAAATAAAGGCTATCCTTTTTTTTTCTCTCTGTTCCCCAGCTACTCCCACCTATCGTAATCCGGAATAATCTCCTCGAAGTACCTCTCAGTAACACTTCTGAACCCAACCTCAGGTGCCCCAACAGACCACGGTCTCCCATTCCCACTAGCAAAAAGGGCAAAACTGGCCCCTTCAAAGACAAACCAGCCCGGAGGCGCAAAAGCCAACCACTTCGACTCAATCGACGCCAGCCAGCGCACCCGTGAGTCGCCCACACTGAGCCCAAAATGATAACACAGCGGCTCAGCTCGAATATGCAGCACAACACAATCCATCCTCGAAGCATCGAGCTCCACCTCCTTATACTGTCTCGGTCAGCAACGCACCCCACATTCGCCGAAGGACCATTCATACCTCAACCGTCCCGTTCTTCAAAAGCTGCGTGTAAACACACATACCAGTCCCATGTGCACACCCCCGAACCCCAAGATCCTGATGCTGAAACTCACTCAAATAAACACTTATCCCCACCGTCTCGCCCGGCCGCAGGTCAGACATGATAGGAAGCAACTCCGCGCTAACCGTCATATTCAACGACGTCTGCTTCCGCAGAATCGCCGCCGGAACATCCCTCTCGCTGAGGGAGTACACATTCGGTCGGAAGACTACACCCCTCCCTTTCTCCCTAAGCACAACATTCTCCGTGTACGGTGTCCGAAGCTGGTACCACCCATTCCCAAGCGCAGATCCTTCGAATCGGTCAACCCAGGTCTCCGGGCTTCTTTGGTCAGGCACATCACCGAAGGATTCACTCAGGAGAACTGGTCTGCCGTCGTTGATGACAGGCCACCCGTCCTTCCAGGTCACAGGAGAGAGGAAAGTCTCCCGCCCTAACGGCGACGACCCGTTAACCTTCCTCCGGGCAATATAAACGGCATACGAGTCCCCACCGGCGGTATCGAAGATAGTAGCATGTCCCGTCGACTGCACGGTTAGGTTATCAAATCCATACGCTCCGTTAAACAGAAGCGGGTTAGCCGGGTTCGGTATCCATGGACCCCCTGGCGATCGTGATCGTGCGATACTCGCGCGGTGGAGATCGTCTGTTCCGCCTATCCGTACTGAGAATCAGCATATACCCATCCGCAACACATCACATCCCCAACCCTCCTCCAAACCGAACTCAATGAAGAGGGTAGAAAGGTACACAGCAGACGGAAAGAAGACAATACCCTCAGCAATAAGCAAATAATACCAACTCCCCCTCATAAACATCTTCGGCCCCTCCGGCCTGGCACTAGCAGTATGCGACATGGTCCCGTTCCACAGGGACCGGTACTCATCTATACATTCCCCCGTCCGAAGATCAACTTGGCATTGATAAATACCCCAGATCCCGGTTTCCTTGCTATCGGGCGCCATGAGGTTCAGATAGACGTCACCGGAGACAGGATCCTGGAACAGAGACGGGTCGATGCCCCATGGCTCGGCCCAGATGGGGTCACTCCAGGTTTCTAGATCGGGGGATGAGATCCATGTGATGCGCGGCCAGACTTTTGCAACCGGGTCGTAGGTCCAGCGCGTCATGCTGGCTATGTAGAAGGTGTTGTTTATGTGAGATAGGGTTGGGGCCCAGGTTCCTTGTTTTTTTTCCTTGAGGGTTAGTATTTTGGTGTTGGGGGATGGGGGAGGGATGTTGGGTAGGCGTACCGCCGCCTGTTGGGGTCCCGTAAAGGGCTAGTTGGGATGGCCTTGTTAGCGCGTAGGAGTGCAGGGTCCAGTTGGCTAGGTCTGTGGATTTGTAGATGGGGAGGCCCGGGAAGTACTCGAAGGAGGATGTTGTGAGGTAGTATTCGTTGTTGAGACGGAGGATGGAGGGATCGGGGTTCCAGCCAGGGAGGATCGGGTTCTTGATTGCGGTTACGGGGAGGATGAGGGTTAGGAGAGTGGATAGCTTGAGTAGGGGGGTCATGTTTGTGGTTGGGGTGGTTGGCGAATGTATGGACGTTGCTTTTGGCCCTTTTAGTGAGGGTCTTGGGTGTCTTTTATGGTGTTTGACTGGGCGGATGAGGTCCGGGAGATCCTCCGGGGCTCCATGCTATTAGAGAGCAGGTCCAAAGTGAGCAAATATTATCTCTGTATTTTTGTTTCTAAGGTTGCTTTCTCTTTTACTTGTAGTACACTGCATGGTTGCTCATGGTTAGGAATATGTACCTGGAGATACTTGGTGAGCTTATCAAACTACTCCATGGAGTAACGGGACGGAGGAGAAGGGTTATTGGAGGAGGATCACATTCAGACGTACGAATGTCTACAAGCAGTCTCGCTTCTTCTGACATAAGAACCTCGTGCGCTATTGTTAAACGTCATGGCTGATCGAGATATTGAAAGGATTGCCGAACCGAGGGCCCTGGAGGCGGATGATAAGAAGAGTGTCTGAGTGATGTTGGAGATGTGAAGCTATTGGCTTTCCAGCCCATCTTGTGACCGGGATGAGACATGATAATTCGCGTGAGAAATTAGAAACTAGGCAATAGTTGAGGCATTCTTACGAAAGGTGGACCAGAGACAGTCGATGATCCCGTCGGCGTCCCAAATAGGAAATTGTTGTATGTAACCCTACTCTGACCCAAAACTACGATGCCTAATGAGCGATCTTACATAAAGAGACTCACTAATAAGCAAAACTAATCAGGTTCGCAACTCATTTCCATAAACTCACCTCAGCCAAGGATCCCAGAAACCACAACCGAAAGGACATGTCCACTCTATCAGCAATCTCCATCCTCCCTGCATCCCCAGAAGATGCGCCTACACTAGCTCGCGTCCACGGCGATGCATTCCAAGACTCCCCACTCAACGACCTCATGTTTGGTCCTCCGACAGAGGAGAACCTGAAGGGGTTCGAAGGCCACCTGGCGGAACTCATCGCCAGCGATAAGGCAGCAAGATTCGCGAAAGCCGTCGACAACGACACGAATAAGATCGTAGGGTGGACCTGGTGGAATTTCTTCCCAGATCGTGAGTCGCGATTGCAAGGCTCGGAAGCTTTCGCAAAGGAACATGACGCCGCGCCTGAGTCTGCTCTCAGTCCTGAGGCGTATAAAGAGTACTTCCAGGGGGTGGCCGCGAGACAGGAAAAATGGATTGCTGGGAGGCCTGTTGCTTGTGAGTTTAGTCTTTTGTTTTTTCATTTGGGTATCCTCCATTGATACTGGGTTGTTTGTTCTGTCGGAAGGGGCTTACGAACTCTACATCTATGTGCTGACACTTGACTGCAGTTCTAAGAGTCCTTGTCGTTCTCCCCGAGTACCAGAGGAAGGGGATTGGTGCGAAGCTGATGGCAATAGGGTTGGAAGAAGCAACAACCCGTGCCTTGCGGTCTGGTTGGAAGCTTCAGAAGCGGGCTATGATTTGTACAAGAAGCTAGGCTTCAAGGATCTTAATGATAGCATTGTTATTAACTTGGCCAAGTACGGAGAGTCGGGTATAACGACTACGGCGTGTATGCTGTTGGAGACTGGGAGCTCTTGAACAGAAACTGGATTGGTGTATCTAATGTGGTAGTGAACCGTTTCGAATCAATTTAAAGCCGAGCTATGAGGCAGTGTAAGCCATCATCCTCTTTTTATCAAATTGCGTGGCTATATCAGACTATATACAGCTATGGGAAGAAAGGAAATTGTGGTATAAGAAGCTGAAAATAAAGGAAGAGACGGAAAAGATAAGAGAGAATAAAAGGGCCACAGCCATCATACATCTAACCTCGAGTCAATACACATTAAGATCATCAAACTTAGTGGGAGTCAGATCGGCCGCCTGGTGTAGTCATGAGGCAGGCATTTGACTTCACTATCAACAATGGACATCCCGAAGGGCGGCATGTTTGTGAATCATCTCCATCATTTGCGTCTGGTTGAGCGGCTTGGGAAGGTAATCATCCATGCCCGCCGATATGCACTTTTCCCGATCACCGAACATAGCATGCGCCGTGAGGGCGATGATTGGGGTGTGCGGAAGCGTATGGACCTTCTCGTAGTCTCGGATTCTAAGAGTCGATTCAAACCCACCCATGACCGGCATTTGGACGTCCATTAATATTACATCGTACTGCTTGTGGCGAAACTCATCCAGGGCCTCTTGTCCGTTCGAAACGACTGTCACGTTGTGGTGATACCTCTGCATTACTTTGAGAGCTACCTTCTGGTTGACCTCATTATCTTCGGCAAGTAGAATAGCCAAAGGGCGCGTTTCATCCGACGAACGACGAGAAGGGCGACCTTCTAGCGCGGGAAGGATACCGTTTACTAATTCGATCGGGCGACAGGGTGTTGTCACATAGGATGTGATACCCAGATCCAAAGCGGATTTCATGGCCACTGACACCACGGGACACACTAGTACGGCCGGGAGAGTCTTGAACCGGTCGAAATCTCTTAGCTGGGACACACAGTCCATGGTTGGAGCGACCAAGACATCATATTGCCGACGAATATCTTTACCGTGCTGAGCAACGGTTTCTGTGGGTGGAGCACCATCCTCAAGCTTCACGACATCCACATGAAGGCCCATTTGCTGTAGTGCTTGTTGGATCCTTTTTGGTTCCTCGTTGCATTGACCATCAGCCTTCTCGACAAACAAGACCCGGCAGCCCTTGTATGGAATAACATATTTGGCAATGTCCTTGACAGAGGGATCTAAGAACCCAAAGGCGCAGGTGAAGTGGAAGGTGCTCCCGACACCCACGGCAGATGTGACCCATATATCTCCTCCCATGAGGTTGACCAGTTTCTTCGATATTGACAAGCCCAGACCAGTGCCACCGAACTTTCGTGTCATGGAGCCGTCGGCCTGCTGAAACTTGTCGAATATCAGATCCAGTTTGCTCTTATCAATGCCAATTCCAGTATCCGAGACCGAGAACTCGAGCAAATACTTGTCTGGAGGGCAGATTGGTGCCGCCTCCTTGACCGTAAGCTGGATTTGCCCCGTCTCGGTAAATTTGATCGCATTCCCGATGAGGTTCAGAATAATCTGCCTTAGACGGAAGGCATCACCGATCACATAGTCTCGCACTGAGTTGTTTATGTGGTATGTAAGATGGAGGCTTCTCTCACTGGCTTCAACTGCAAGGATTTTGAGGGCCTTGAAAACTGTCTGTCCCAGGCTGAACGGAACAGACTCGATCTTCATATGATTGGCTTCGATTTTCGAAATGTCGAGAATATCGTCGATAATCACCAAAAGGCTATTTCCCAGATTATGCACCACGTTCAACATCTCCCGAGTTGGGGGAGGCAAATCATCGGTGTCCAGGGCTAATTGAGTCATGCCAATAATCCCATTCATAGGCGTGCGAATCTCATGGCTCATATTGGCTAAGAACTCTGACTTACTCTGGTTGGCTAGTTCGGCAGCCTCTCGAGCTGCAGTGTTCCTCTGTATGCTGTCACGTAGATTGGATATCATTTTATTAATCTTTTGCTTGAGCTCGTCCATTTCTCCGGAGGCGCTGACGGTGATCAGCTTGCTAAAGTCACCATCAGTGGCTGCATTGGTGATTTGTCCAAAGGCCCGGACCTGCGAGGTGAGATTGTCTGCCATCATGTTGACATTGTCTGTCAGGGCTTTCCACTCTCCCTCAACATTGGCAACGACAGCCTGGCCACCAAGGGTTCCGTCGACACCAACCTCACGGGCAACTTTGCAAACTTCAGAGGCAAACTGGTTCAGCTGACCGACCATCCCGTTGATGGTATCTTTGAGGCTTAAGATTTCCCCATTTACGTTGGCAGTGATGCGTTTGCTGAGATCACCACGAGCTACAGCCGTGGTCACATCCGCAATTTCTCTGACTTGGTTTGTGAGATTCATTGCCATCCTGTTCACACTTTCAGTTAGATCCTTCCAGACACCCTCGACTCCGTGAACGGTCGCCTGGCCTCCTAGAACGCCATCCGTCCCCACTTCTCTGGCAATCTTTGTCACCTCCTGGGCGAACTGGCGGAGCTGGTCAACCATCGAGTTGATGATATTCTTCAGAGCCAATATCTCTCCTTTACAGTCTGCCCGGACCTTCTGAGTAAGATCGCCATTTGCAACGGCAGTGGTCACGGTCGCAATGTCCCTGACCTGCATAGTCAGATTGTTGGCCATGGCATTAACATTTGTTGTAAGCTCATTCCACATTCCTTGAGTACCATATACCCGCGCTTGCCCACCAAGAACCCCTTCAATACCCACATCCCGGGCGACACGAATAACTTCAGTGGCAAATGTACGGAGCTGGTCTACCATCGTGTTGAAAGTATTCTGTAACAGGAAAATTTCACCCTTGGCAGGACGTTCGATCTTCTGGCTCAGGTCCCCGTGGGCCACCGCCGTAGTGACCACTGCGATCTCTCGGACCTGGTTAGTCAGGTTCAACGCCATGGTGTTAACGTTATCGGTCACTTCTCTCCATACGCCGTGCATTCCAGACACTTGAGCCTGGCCACCGAGAATACCCTCTGTCCCCACTTCCCATGCTACTCTTGAGACCTCACTGGCGAAGACCCGCAGCTGGTCAAGCATGGCATTCATTGTGACCTTGAAGGTGATGATATCCGAGTCCATCTCCAACGGGTGAATCGGCACTTTTGTAGATAGGTCTCCGTTGGCAACTTTAGTGATGACCTTTGCGATCTCTTGCAGGGCTGTTTGAAAGGCTTTATTCATCTGCTGATGTTTCCGGAGATCCACTTCGTGATCGGGATGCTTGTTTGCTGCGCGGTGACGCAGCAGTTCACGGAAGAGACTCGACACAACTTCCCGTGGCAGCTTGATTTCGTCTTTCTGTTCATCAAGAGCCCGTTTTACAAGAGAATAGTGATCATCGTTCGCGAATCCATACTCAGGGTTATGGTCGACATGACGACTGGACGGGATGTCATCTAGCCTAAAACCCTGCTTAGCCTTGTGATGTGGCAACCTGATTGAAATAAACATGCACATACCATGCAAACTTCCGCTTTCGGGTCTGAGAACTTATGACCATCTCCGTATGCTGCCCACATAGCGTAGACTGGGGAAAGTATCCATTCTCTGAATGGGGTGGCGATATGTCACCCTCTGGCGCATTGTTTTGAAGAAACTGAATATGGCCTATGAAGACCTGCAGCTGTCTCTCGAACGCTGTCTTTGCATCACTTGGCTCCCCTGGTAACTGAAAAAGCAAATGATACAAGTCCTCCGTCGGGGAATCCAATGGCTGACAAGGGCTAGAATCATAAATGCCAGATGGTAAGGCACATTCTAAACCGGCAGCTGCAGTCCTGAAGGCTTGCTCAACCGCTGCCATGGTCTTCGACTTGGGGTTAGACCGCTGATGACGGGTCCTGTTGTGTTTAGAATGGAGTACACTGTCCATGCATTGTCAATACAATGCTATAATTAAAACAGAGCGGGTGCGAAATCTATGTCTGCTTGAACAAATTTGAAAGACCTCTGTGAAGTAAGATACACTTCCTATGATCAGCGGGTTAGCCTTCTGGAGATCAACAACAGCGACTAGAAACAGAATAAGCGTTAATTCAGCGAAAACCCCATAACATATTCATCATGAAGCGAGGTGTAGCGATTTGCCTCGGGGGCGACAGGACAAAGATCGTAAAGACTAGGGGTACCATGGAAAAGGGCCTAGTGAAGCTTCGCATCCAAGGGTGAGCGCGGGCTTTCAGAGAAAACACAGACACGAGGTGATTGGCTTAAAGTGAGTCGGATTCTTTAGCCCTACGTTTCCCCAGCAGGTAAAAAGGCCATTGAGGCTAGACCGACGGCATTATTGAGGTGATGAGGAAGAAGGCTTGACGTTCTCTGGTTATTAGCCGCAGTGGTAGGCACATGATTGGCCGAGCCCCAAACCCTTGGAATGGAAACAGTCATTGACCACCCCATGGTCCCTTAAAACTCTCGATTATCGTGATCCATAGCAAGGGTTGAACTGGCCACCGGTCCTTTCTCCGGCCGCCGGTTCTAGAACCTGGTCATCACCCCATCCCCGCCCTCGCCCGGACCGTTGATGACCTCATTGCTCCTCCCATGCGGCCGACAATGGTATTTATTCAACTAGTATTGCCTTTGTGGCTTCTAGAGGATTTTTTCTAGGCCGTCAGAATTGGAATCTTTCCTAATTTTCTTTGCTCCTCGTTGCTGTGCAATCCATGGGATATTGCTGGACCGAGAACTTACGAACATAGCAAGATGATTCTTTGAGTTTAATATCAAGATTTGATACAGTAATTCCATGGCCTCAGAAACCCTAGACTTGTGACCATAGTAGTTCCCAATAGGGGACCATAGTTATTCTGGGGATGACTACCTCCGAATTAGGATCGCCAGATCAATCCGAGCATCGGGTTTAGTTTCACATTATCCATTGAGGGCAATTTCGCGCCGGCCTCTCCAGATTTGTTTGAGATTTTCCCCTAAGCCAACGTCTCGCCGGATGAAGAATCCGAGATGCCTGCGCCTAGCCCGTGGCGTCACTAGGCTTTCTTTTACTGGCGTTTGAGAAATCGATGGAAGAAGCTCACTGGCTCGGAAATAGACGTTGAAGCTGTGATACCTCCAATGTAGCTAGCTGATTCTCAGTGCGCCCATAAAGTATGTAAATAGAATTCCCAAGTCTGCATTAGCGCCTGCAAGACAAATCCTCATTCTTTTATTGACCGCTACACGCACTCTATTAAGACGGGTCACAAGAACTGGCCCGCACACCACCAAATATTAGTGTTTGTGATAGGTGATTAGTTAATGCGATACAGAGGGCGTCAAAATATTGGGGATATCATCAGATCTGTTTTCCTTCTCTCACGGACAATGGTTTGGGTGGCTGTTGTTGTTGTTGTTGTTGTTGTTGTGAGAGAGCGTTGAAGGCCCCTCGCATCTAGACACGTACCCTACTTTTCCCGAAGAGGAAACTACTGGTTTAACCTTAAAATTCTTTTGCTGCTCCCTTGATTCTCGCTGGAACTCGCTTAACCCGCTGTCTGCATTCCTGCAACTTTGACAAAAAACCGCTTGCCGCACCAACAGACATTTGTTGCTCTCTGGTGTTAAGTTTTGCCAAGTTCCATGGCGTTTTGACCTCGGATGTTTATTTTCTGTGACATTTCCAAAAAAAAAAAAACGAAAGCCAACGGTGAGTATGCGAGCGCCTGAGACCTAGCTACGCGTCTGGACTGCTGATTCTTCTCAAGAATTACGGTCTAGACCTATTTGGCCTTGGCCTCTGATGCTCTCAATGCAGTTAGAGCTACTTTCCCTCGTTTCCGGTGAACACTGATTGTTTTGGAGGGGCTTCCTTCCTCTTTACCTTGCCCCTTGCTTTAGGTAGATGTGACACCTTGCCTCTGAGCTCCTCGAGTCATGCTTTGTTAAGGCCCCCTAAAGATACCTGGAAAATGAATATACCATCCTTAGATCAGACCTGGGAGCCCATCTTGAGCCAGTGTCGAATATACTTGGGCAAAAGAGTCCGTATCGTCGGAAAGCAAAGGAGATCGGGGCTCGTGCTGAGTGCATTCCGCAAGTTCTCTGTACCAACGACTGGCATTTTTGCCTGCAGTTCCCAGCGTGTCTTGTTATCCAGAATGGCTTCTTCCAACATCGGCATGAGTGGCTTCAAGGGGTGCTCAGTCTCTGCATAAGTTCGAGACTGGCATTTTTCCACCCACTCTCCATATGGAACTTCGACCAAGGAGCCTGCCGGAAGGGCTGCGCTTATGCCCTCAAAAATCTCTGAGAGGGAAATCATTGCTTCCTCGTGATGTTCGACAAGGTTGTAAGCTCGACTGAAGAACTTCTCGGATGATGCGATGTGTAAGAGCGCCAACACAACAAAGTCTACCGACACGAAGGCATCGCGGTGGTCGGAGAGTGCAGGATAACAGCCTATATCCACACAACTAGGGACTACGCGGCTGAAGAAATCCTCGGAATTCCCAGTCCCTGTTTGGCTGTGACCAAGAACAAAACCGGGACGGTGAATGATCACGGCTAGACCGTTGGCGATCGCATTCCATGCAATAGTCTCGGCAACGGATTTACTTTGCGAATATCCTGTGTCGTACTTCAAAGCCCCAAGGTGAGATTTGGGATTCTCATCTTCCGGGATGTACGTCGTCCCAGTCAACAGTCCCGTGGGCCCATATACAGAGGTGCTCGAAACATAATGGAGCGCCTTTGGTCGCTTTGTGTTGGCGAATCGAATCATGTTCAACAACCCTATGACATTCGTCTGCCGGTGAGGCTCGTAGGGCTCGATCCAATTCACGCGGGCTCCTAGGTGGAAGATGATGCTCGTCCACTCTGCAAAATAATCAAATGTTTCGCGGCCGAGATCTAGATATTCCTTGGAAAAGTCCCCTGGAATGGCCCAGATCTTGTCCATGTGACAGGGTCGAAGTTCGTACCAATCGAAGGCCTTCACGATGCGCTTAATGGCTTCTAGCTCATCTGCTGCACGCACCAAGCACGCCACTCGCTGAACATCTGACCGGAGGAGAAGCTCCTTTAACAAGAAGGCGCCGATGAACCCCGTTGCCCCAGTGAGGAAAACGTGCCCTTCGCTTTCAATCGTCCAGTCTACTATATGGCCAGGCATTGGCCGCAATTCCTTCCCCAGATCCAGGTCTGGCTGCCAAAGAGTTTCATTCTTATCCATCCACTCCTCACCTTTCCGCAGCGACTCAATAAGGCTCATGAGTTCTCGTTGAGTTGGATGTTCGTATACCATCGCGATGCGTAGCTGAATACCAAGGTCCTCCTTCACGCGAGACACCAGGCGGGCTGCATGTAATGAGGAGCCACCCATCGCAAAGAAGTTGTCGTCTGGCCCTATTTGCGATCCAAACGCATCCACCACAATCTGTTGAACCGGTGATACCGGCTCATACAATGTCGATGTCGTGCTCTGTCCTAGGCTCCTAGAGTATAGCTCAACTAGCTTCCCACGATCGATCTTATGCGTATTAGTCAGAGGCAAATGGTCTACTGCTTCCAATCGCGGCAGCATGAGATAGGGTGCCTTCATGGTGTAGGCCTGCCTGATCGTCATTGGATTCGTATCCTCAGAAATGGGTACCACACACGCTAGCAAAAGCGACTCAGCGTCACTGTTACTATCTATGTCTATCTTTACGGCTGCCGCCGTTGAAACCAACCCCGTCGTCATCAGGATGGCCTCGACTGCTTCAAGTTCGATACGATGACCCCGTATTTTGACTTGGTTGTCACGCCGACCTACAAATTCGAGCAACCCAGCTGGATTCCACCGTCCAAGATCCCCTGTTCGATACACCTGTCGATTGGGAAAAAAGTGTCTCAGCTGGATGAATGCATTGCCGGGCTTTTCGGGCTCGCTGAGATATCCTCCTGCGACTCCTTTACCACCGATTATCAATTCTCCAACTTCTCCATGGGGTAATACATCAAGGCTGTCATCCACTACTATGACTTCGTATCCATCCATCGGCTTCCCGATAGGAATATTACCCCTCTCTACATCTTCTATTGAGATGTCGTGGAATGTTGAGAACATAGTACACTCAGTCGGGCCGTAAAGATTTAATAGCCGCCTCGGTGGACCATACTCTAGCACTTTCCGCGCCAGCTGGGCCGTCACCACCTCTCCACCGGTAAGAAGCGTGTCAACCGTGATGTATGCCTGTGGGTAAGTATTGATCGTTGCAGCCAATAGCGCTGGGGTTTGCCAGAGTACATCGATCTTATCTTCCCGTATACGTTTCACTAACCTAGCGGGATCAAGCACCGTGTCACGATCTAGCACTACTGCCGTAGCACCGCGGAGAAAAGACCCAAGTGTCTCCATGATAGACACATCGAACGTAACATTACTCAGGTGACCAAATTGCTGACCCTCCTGGACCGGAACAAACGTTTCATTAAGGCAGTAGTTGATAATTCCGCTGGCGAGCACCTGCACAGGCTTTGGACGGCCTGTTGAACCAGATGTATGAAAGATATGCGACCGATATTGCGACGGCTGTAGATCAATTACATCCTGCCCGAGCTCCTCACATACTAAGGTATGCAGCGACCTGTGGTCCACAATAATATGACTAATTCCATGGGCTTCCAATCTGTGTGAATTGGCTTGGTCGGTCAACAAAATGGAGATATTGATATTTTTCAGCATATCAATCAAGTACTGGTCAGGGTGGTTCACGTTTAATGGAACGCACGTTCCCCCAGCATATATGACAGCAATCTGCGAAACAACATGATCTATACCTCTCGGTGAAAGGATCCCAATCGGAACTTGAGTCTGTACTTGCAAACATCGGATCTGATAAGCCAGATTTAGCGCTTTGGCATGAATCTGAGAGTACAAGAGATGGCACTCATCGTCTCTTATAGCCACTGAGGTTGCAAATCGCTTAAATTGCCGCGATAGAAGCCTAGAAAGCCCTAGTTCACGCGGGGGTTCCATTATCGCTGACTCGTGGAAGCAGCATTATTCCTTCCAGCAATATATGCTACTGGAAATAAAGATGGTGTCTATGTTGGATACTGGGCTCCATACCCACCTTAATGCATATACGACGTATAAAAGCCGGCGAACGGTGGTGACGGTCCATTTGGGTTGGTATCACTCGGTGCTACCATTTAAGTTCATGGGCAGCCATCTAATGCGGATTGTCTTCCTCATTACCTTCATTTAGGATTGGCAATCACCTGTTACCTTGTGATGCAGGTGAACGGGATGTACATGTGAATGGTATACGAGAAATCCAAGAGATGCGCTATTGATTGGCTTCTTATAAGTGCTGGCTTGTATTGTAGAAGCTGATTGATTAACCACCACCGGTTGCTAAGACCAGATCGGCGGTCTGTGTAGTACCTACCGGGTCTTTATAATTCTGAATACCTTGAAAGGCATCATTCATTAGGAAGAACGCACACGTTCAGCCAAAGATAGCAGTCTTTGAGCAACATGGAAGGTCCGCAATAGCCATCAAGCTCGGCGTGACTGATAAGGTGCTATGCGTGTGCTTGGATTTCTGAATGGTTATAGAAAATACAAAGGTACAGCAAGCATAAATGAAGTATCTCGGTGGCTTTGAAAATCCCCGGTGGCTGAACCCCGCAGCTGATCACGCGTGTCAACGGCTCAGACCCTAAGCTTAAACCTAACCTCAACTATCTGGTAACATTCCGTCAAGACCCTAGACAGCGACGCACGATGCAACAGATCAGTCTCAGCCCGTTTCTTGTCTCTCAGGCACCTGGAAAAGTTGTACTTATCACTGGTGGCGCCAATGGTATCGGGGCCGCAACAGCCCAGCTCGTCAATAACAACGGCGCCAAAGTAGTACTATCACTATCCAATCTGGAAATATCTGGGAATGCCGCAGAAAACCTTATACGAGGATTCCCCAACCCAGAAAATGCGTTATTCATGGCAGCTGATAACTACACTCGATTGGCACTAGATGACTGCCCTCTTCAAGTGCGCTGTGGAGAATTTCGGAGCTATTGATATCGTCATCGCTAATGCGGGGACGATGGAATCGCTGTCTGTCTTAGACCTAAATGATGTAGATGTGGATGGAAATCTAAAGGTATCCACAGAGGGGTTTCACGTAATTGATATTAATATTAAGGAGGCTCTAAACAGTTAGTGCACCCTATTGCTCGTCAGTGTCAGGTCTTGGTTTGTGTTCACTGTATCCTAAGCCTTGAGACTCGCTCTCCACCATATGAAATCCAGAACGATCGCCTTCAGGATCTGTTGTCCTCATGGCCTCAACGTCAGGGCACTTTGACGGTACGGGAGTGACGGCCTATGTAGCCTCTAAGCATGGAGTCGTTGGTCTGTTACGAGCGTCACAGAGTGTCGCTCAGTAACATCGGGCTCGGGTCAATGCTGTCGCCCCTTTCTTTACGCCCACGCGACTTACTGCTGGGTTCGCGCACCGGTGGGAGGAAGCCGGGCTTGAAGCTAATACTCCCCAACGTGTTACGGAGGCGGGGACTATTGCGTGCGTCGCGATGGATGAAAATAGGAATGGGCCCAGTGTCCTTGTGAGTTTGAATACATAAAGTTTTTCGGATTGAGACTTTTCCCTGTGGCAATACGCTGATTCTATCAGGTGGCTGGGAAGTATCTCCGGGAAATGGAACCTACAAAAACGGGGTTAGTGCTGCGGTGTATTGGTGAAGACGTCGCTGAGTTTATGGCAAGGGCGATGCGTTTTTTTATGGACATAAGGGGTTATGTATTGCCCAAGTTTAATTCCCCTGTGGGCTATACCGTCGGTCGTCGGAAATGGCGAGCTGAACCGAATCAATGTCTCGGAAAAAGTCTGTCTTCTGCACCCCCGTCATTCTGCGATTTCCCCATCTTGGGATGATCTGCAGCAATACTCCTAGAACAGTGAGGCGGGGCCCCATAGTGGCTGTCTTGTCTTACCCTACAGCCTTAAACCTACACAGCTCAACACAGGCTCCTCATAGAGGGTACTGCTTAAGAACCTTTCCAACGATGAGTTGCACAGCTACAAGAGGACTTCGCTGGGATTCAAGCGTCGCCTGACTACTTGCCACCCGGGAAGAGTTTCATTCCAAGCACATGTCGACTGACTCGATAAGCGACTGAACACCGAGAGTTCCAGATCACCCGGATAGCTATCCAGCTGGAGCACAACTATTAAATCTTGTCCTCTGCTCCCTGTGACGTGGTTCACATACCAGCTGGCTATTTACCCAATCATAACCCGTGGGTGTGAGGTGTAACGGCGAAACTCCGTGACTGGAATGTAGGACTTCGATGATCGGCGCTGATCAGCAAGCTTTATCCTCCCCAGAAACCCCGAGACTACGTATCATATGTGTTCTCACCTTTCACCATGGCAAATGTCCCGATATTGATATCCCTTGCGTGCATGCTTCCCCACCTCCTCAGCTCATATGGATTCTATAAAGGTTACTGATGTGCGTGACTATATACCGGAAACAATTTTTTTTCTCCTTTCTGCTTACTATTGCTCTACTTTCAGTCCAAATTCCCTAGACACTGTGTATACGCTGTGCGGTGCTAGATTTCGTGCTATATAGTGTTCGTTTTACGGCCTTTTACAACCAATGGGCGTGGAGTCCAAAACCCTGTACCACACGGATAATGAATCCGCATCGAATACCTACCGGGAAAATAGCCAGCAATGTTTGATTGCTACCCATGCTACAGACTTCGCCACGGCGACCCAATATACCTACCGAGAGGATAGCACGAGACAACCAGAATGGACACCGGGAGTGAAAGAGTGGCTTGTCACAACATGCGTGTCGATTCTAGTGATGATGGACGCGTTTAACACAACGGTGGTTATTCCTTTGATGCCAGTATGTATGTCTACAAAAGCACAAATCAATCCATGGGGCTTCAGAATCTGACATGGATCTGTTGTAGGGGTTCTCAAATACCTTTCAGCAACCTCTTGAAAGCGTGCTTTGGATCAACACATCCTACCTCATAGGCAATGCGTCCGGCCAAGGTCTCTTCGCCATGTTAGCGGAGGTACTTGGCCATGGACCTATCCTACTTTCGTCTGCTGTTCTCGCGACAACTGGGACAGGCATATGTGGTGGTTCTCTGAGCCTGTCTGTGCTGATAGTGGGTCGATTCATACAAGGATTTGGCGGAGGAGGGGTGGTGGGGGTTTCGCTTTTAATCATTGCAGGCCTTATTCCGACATCGCATCAAGTCCAATTTTCGACCTACATCTTCCGCGCCCAAATGATCGGTATGGTGATTGGCTCAGTTGCTGGTGGGGTATACCATGACTATACAAACTATATTTGGGCTTTCTATTCCAGCTTTGTGTTCTGCGCAATGGGCCTCTTGGTGATCCCATTTGCATTGGATCTCAGAGGACATGGCCAAGAAAACAAGTTCAGTGCTACGAGCAGGTTCCGTACTATGGACTGGATCGGTGCCATGTTGACTCTGCTTGGCATGGGAACCTTACTTACTGGAATCGGCTGGGAGGGAACGCAGAACGCCTTGGATAGCTGGCAAACCCTAGTGCCGCTTTGTGTTGGTGGCATCTTTTTAATTGCTCTGGTTCTCTATGAGACACTGTGGGCCATGCATCCGATGTTCAGTTCGAAAGTATTTCGGGACCTCTCATCAACGATGGTGCAGGCAGGCGGCTTCCTGCATGGATTTATTGTCAGTTGCCCCTGAGCTAGATCAGTCTGCTTGGAATATCAGTGACTAATGATTACTTAGTTATCCTCTCACCTCCATTTTCTGCCACTTTACCTCATCTTCGTCAAGTCGCTCAACACCACATTGATAGGGCTGAGCCTGGTTGCTCTCACGGGTCTAACAGTACCTGCTCTTATGATCTCGGGCACAAGGCAGTTTTTCCGACGGGCACATGTCTCCATCTGGATCAGCCGTATAGGCTGGTTGTTTACTATTACCGCAACTGGTTGTTCACTTTTACTGAATCCGTCGATCCCAACATCCGGTTGGGTTGTTATCTTCCTGGTCGCTGGGTTGGGCTCTGCCCTCCTCACACTCGGATACAATCTCTGTATCCATGTAAATAATTTGAAGTACTACCCGGGACACGAAACCCGTGAAAGCGCAAAGGTATCCACAACATCGATACTGATATACTCGATCCTACGCACATGGGGCATGTGCATCGCCATCCCCATCAGCGGAACCATCATATTTAACTATCTATCCTCCAATGACATTCTTGACATGTCAGTCGGGTCGCCCCAGGAAAGAAAAGACGCCTTTTCCGACGCGCTTCAAGTGCTTTGGAAGGTTTACACGGCAATTGCCGCATTGGGAGGAATTTCGTCTTTGTTTATTCGGTCTGCAAGTTGAGCGCAAGCGTCGGTCTGTCTTATCTGTGTAATATAATAGTAGCTTAGTGATATCCCCCAAAATGTGGTCAAATATACGCGCGACACATCTCATGCCTCGATATCTGTAACCGTCTCGTGAAGCAACCACTCAGCGCCGGAGAGCGAAGGGAACAGGCGTCAATTGTTCGCTCTACTTCAGTGGGCCAGAGCCAATCAGACTTGACCGCCGTTACAAGGGTGACTAGTAGTTAGTTGGCGTGCAGGATGCGTCAAGGATTCGGATGTGTCCGCGCCGATCGCGCTCTTCGTTCTCTGTCTCATTAAGGTTATGGATAGTCCACCGCACCTTATTTTCTATCCTGGATCCCGTGCCTAGTCATACCCTACCTCGCCTCAGATATAAATCAAGAAAAAAAAAAGGATGAAGAAGGCTAAAAGGGGAGCACCCACCCAAGTAATAACACCCTAATCCCCAATCACCTAATAAAAAATGGAAGACAATTCACAAACCGCCCAAAACCAACACGCCCGTCCCCACAAAAACCCCCAAACACCATTTGCCCAAAACCCTTGGCAACGAAGCATGCGTGGCTCGACTTGCCT